AGGCGGTGACATTTGCGGCGACGGGCAAGGGCACGGCGGTGGCGAACTTGGACTTAGAAGAAGAGAGAACGGAGGAGCAAACGGCTGCGACGCCGCAGCTCATCAATCTGGACGCCATTTTTTCTTTGAGCGATCGAGGGAAATTGTCGGGAAGGGAGAAAATGGGCTTGGGGATGAAGAAGAGATGGAAGTGGCACCACGATATACATACAACATGGGGATATAGGCGAATCCAAATCATGATTGTTATTGGCTAAGGATAGTGGCTTATCCTCTGTCATTGGGCCACGTGGAATGTAGAGTGGATATTTAGATACATGATGGTGTGTTTGTGGTAGAGCTTCACTACTGTGTTTCAAAAAATCTAGGTGGCTTAGGTTATTATCTACGTGGAAATACCACTATTTATCCCTACAATAATTTTTAACAAAATCAGATTAGACTTATAGAACAATATCAATAAAATTAATTTTATTTTACAGCGATTTTTTACTTTGATTTATGTTTTTATTTTTGCTCATATCATATAATTTATTATTGACTCACTACTCTGAAGGGACAAAACTTTAATAAAATAAAATAAACTTATATGTATAAGAATGCAATAGGTTAATTGGTAATTGTTTTTTTATATATATCAGAGGGGATTGGGTTTAGCTTTATTGTGAAATTCTAGGATACATTTTATGAACTCTTGATGCATGTGTTGTTAGATGAAGAGTTATAGAGATGCGTTGTTAGATCAAGAGTTATAAGGATGTAGAACTATAAAGTAACTTCTTTGTGACTATAAACAAGATTTCATGAATTGAAGGAGCAACGTGATGTATCATTGTTTTCATCTTTTTGAATCCATTAAAGTCATGATCGAATTGTTGCATTAAACTAACACATCAATATATAAGTAAATTCGTATGTTAATTGATAAGTAAATTCCGTAAGGTTACATGAAAAATTTATATTAAAAATATTCGGCCTGAGAAGCTCAACCGAAGGAGTGTAGACAAAAATCCAACTCGTAATTTTCATGAATAAGAATCATGTTTCACCCATTAATTCAAGATCATCTCTTTCGAGTAAAGTCACTTCGCCTAACACTGGTTAACATGTTTTTAGGATCCCATAAAGATTATATTAGTTGCTTATAGTTTATCTTTTTAGTATTGTTTAGTCTAAAATTATGTGATTTACTGGTTATAAATAGACACAATGTGTGATTAAATGGTATAAAATGAATAACGAAAAGTTAGTAAAATTAAATGATCTAAATATTTTCAAAAAAAAAAAATGATCTAAATAAATAAACATATAAATCTTATAAATATTAGAAGATAAAGTTTTAATTTTTATGGTAATAAGAGATATTATTATATTTTAAATTTTATTTTTTCATGTATCAACAAAAGGAAAAAAAAAAAAAAAAACAGAAAATTTGCCTTAAAAATAAGTTTTTTTTTTTTTTTTTTTTATAAATAAAAGACTAATTCATTAATCATAAACATGAATGTTTACAATACAGATTGTTAGAATGACAGTGCATTCTTTACAGTCAACATATAAACAAATTTCCTAGTAATGTTATAGAAAATTTGGATCGCGGACTATTTTATAAATTTGAAGGCGAAGTTGTTGGATGAACTCGGTGCTTCTTCACAGACCTGGTCAAACATAGTTAAGCCTGACTCTGATGTGACCATTTTATCTTTCCACGCTTATGAGGAGAACTCGCCAAAGAAAGGAGAGGAAAATTAAACTCACCAAAGAAACGAGAGGGATACACTCGCCAGAGAGACAAGAGAAAACAAACTAGTCAAAGGAACAAAGGGATAACGTAGAATCAAAAGAAAACAAAATAAATGGAAAATGTGATAGAAAACCTGTCAGATCTGGAGAGTCTCTACGCCTTCTCTGAAAAAGAACGATCGGAGAAAATCTGAGATCTAACGCTTATTCCTAAAACAACCAGATGATTGAGTCTACTAATGACACCGCCGACTCAACCCTCCATTAGAGCGTCAGCCGGCAGTCGGAGGATGGAGTCGCAGGACCTTTACTGATGAAAAAGGGAGAGAAAGCAATTGTTTAATTTGGAGAGAAAGCAGTTCCTATGAAAAATAAGTTTTATATACCCCATTTTATTGTTTTATTAGGTAATTTAGGCTCCTTTTATTAATATTACTAGTATTTGTCTCGTGCGATGTACAGCAAATATGTTATAAAAATGTACCCTATATGAGATTTATTCATATATAAAAATTTTGTTATTTAATAATTATGTGTGAATTGCTATGATAAAATATAATTATGAACATAAATATGTTTACAATTTAAATAAGAATTGGTATTTAAGGTGGGTGATTACTACAAATCTTAAACTATATTAAAATTTTAGTACATAGTATTTAATATTACAAATTTTTAAGAACTTAGTAAACTACAATAGTAATTGAATTACAATTTTTAGAGTCACAACGGATCAAAATTTATAGACCTTTGAGATTTCTAGAGTTAGAAATCTCAAAGGTCTAAAATTTTTTATCCGTGGTGACTCTGAAAATTGTTAGAAATCACAAAGGTCTAAAAATTTTGATATATGGTGACTCTGAAAATTGAAATTCAATTACTATTGTAGTTTACTAAGTTCTTAAAAATTTGTAATATTAAATACTATGTACTAAATTTTTAAGATTGACCTCATTAAAATAATCTCAATTGAAGTTTATTTGTGAGTTTTTAGATGGATTGGATGAGGCAAGAGAGATGAAAATGAATTAAGGTTAATTTGAAATTTTATGCACCATGTAATAAATAAATAAATAAATCTTAACTATAATATAATCATATGATTTGGTGAGCAATTGCTCACTAAACCATATGATTATATTATAGTTAAGATTTCGTAAATTAAATATTAATGAAAGGAACCTAATCATTTGGGACAATTGGTAAAGCATGCATATTGTTAGTGTAATAATTAAATTTTGTAAGTACATCATGAATTTAATTCGAATTAATTTTATAGTGGTAGAGACAACGAATATTATATAATAGTAATAATAATAATAATAATAATAATAATAATAATAATAGCAAATGAAAGAAAAATGGAGAAAAACATTTAGTTTTTTTATTGCTGGCCAGTGTCTCACAAGTTACATCGTCCAACAATAGGGGAGATTTCCATTCTCCCAAAAGGCTGAATCTCAAGGGAGAGATTTCCATGTTTATACATATGGGAGTGCTTTGTTAATGAGTGTCTGGTTGGATATAGTTGGAATTTCTTTTATATTTTATTTTATAGCAAGGTAAATTATAGTATTTAGTTAGAGAAAATTATAGTACCATTCATTTGTTGAATTGTAATTTTAAGTACCCCATGTTACTCTAAAACGACTAAAATTTCTTTATATATATAAAAATAGAGTTAATACCATCTAAGATCCTCCGAGTATAGTGGTTTTGCCATGTTTAGTCCTAAACTTTCAAATTGACCATATGTGGTCCTTCGACTTTCAAACTTTACCATTCGTGGTCCTAGTTAACCACCCATGGTCCTTCAACTATTAAATTTTAACCAACCATGGTCCTTTCATGAGGACACTACTGGTTAAATTTCAAAACTTGAAGAACCATGGGTGGTTAACTTGGACCATGAATGGTTAAATTTGAAAGTCGAAGGACCATAAATGGTCAATTTGAAAGTTTAGGACTAAACGTGGCAAAATCACTATACTTGGAGGACCTCAGATGGTATTAACTCTATAAAAATAATAGGGAAAATGGTCAAATAGGCCCTCGAACTTTAACTTAAAAGTCAATTAGGCCCCTAGACTTTTTAAATGTGCAATTACACCCACCAGCAATTCATTTAGGTGCAATGAAGCCCAAAAACAAGTTAATGACCTGCTATCACAGGTCATTAGGGTTCAGGCCACCTTCCGGCGAAATTTCCGAGAAAAAAGTGACCGCCGGCGACCGTTCGTCGGTCGCTGGTCACTTTTTTTTTTTTTAATGAAAATTTCGTCGGTCGATCGCCGAACACTTTTTTTTTTTTTTTTTTTTTTTGTCGGAAGGTGGCTTGAACCCTAATGACCTGTGATAGCAGGTCATTAACTTGTTTTTGGGCTTCATTGCACCTAAATGAATTGTTGATGGGTGTAATTGCACCTTTAAAAAGTTTAAGGGTCTAATTGACTTTTAAACTAAAGTTTAAGGGCCTATTTGACCCTTTTCCAAAAATAGTATAATAAGGGAAAATGGTCAAATAGACTTTCAAACTTTAACTAAAAAGTCAATTAACAACTTTAACTTTTTTAAAGGTGCAATTACACCCATTAACAACTCATTTTGATGCAATGAAGCAGAAAAGTCGATAATTGACATGGTATTATGTGTCATTAGAGATCCGACCACCTTCCAACAAAAATTTCAAGCAAAAAAGTGTTCGACGACCGGCAAACCGTCACTGGTCACGGAGAAAGAGAAGAGAAGGTGACACCATGGTGTCGCCTTCTCAACCCCCGAGAAAGCAATCCACTGTGGGTATTTAATTTTTCAGCTAAAGTTCGATGACCTTTTTTTTTTTTTTTTTTTTTTGCCTATTTTGGAGAATATATGCTCTGTTCCAATTTTGATTTATTTGACCACTATTAATTATTTGACTTAGTTAAAAAAATTAATATAAATTTGGTTAATTAGCTTTTTGTAACTCCAAAATGCTAAAATTCAAAAGCTACTAAAATAAATTTTTTTAATTAGCTTTTGAGAAAAGAAATTATACCAACCAACTATCAGCTAATTTACCAAACACTTTTCTACAATCAACTAATGTTATTAACTAGTTATACCATTTAATTAACTCAATCAGCCAACAGCTATCCATTAACCGCCATTTACCAAACAGGCCTATATGTAAGTATTATTTACAATAACATTGTGACTAAATTCATAATACTAACAAACTATGTTGAATAAAGTGCAAATTTTAACTGTCTAAAATGATCTTTCTTCGCATTTTCAGTCCAACTCAACCTTCGCCACAGAGACGACCCGCCATATAACAGCGACACGTCTATCCTTAGCTCGTAGAATCATATCCTGGCGAGGCCGCCGGATGGCTTTTGCAGCACAATTAGCTGCTTCCGTACCACTACTCTGCTCAGTAAAGGCCACTTCCACTGCGGTTAAGAAGAGTAAGGCTGCGCCGAAGCCCAAGGCGGGGCACGGCGGTGCTTTGGACAATGTAGTGGAGGTGGTTCGTAAGGACTCGGAATTTCTAAAGAAAGGCATCGCCAAAGGCCTGCGATGGGCCAACGAGGCCTTTCGAATCCCTCAGGTCTCGAAATCGGTTAGCGATGTGGTTTGGTTGCGGAATATCGAGGACCCGAATGCTTCTGCTGCTGAGCTTAAGAGTCGGACTCGTTGGCCTCAACCTAGCTATCCAGGTTTGGTTTTCTGGAGCTCAATTATGATGTACTCTGTGCAGCGCTAGTTGTAAATTGATTTGACATAGTTCATTTCATGCTTGAGTGTGCCAAATTTGTGTTATACTGTTAGCATATATGTAGATAGGATTTTGTTTAGGAACACCAGATGTGTGTGAGCCAAGAGTTAGGGCTAATCAAAGTGAGGACAAGGGGGTTGTGTTAAACAATTCCATGAATCATCTATGGGAAGAGACATTAATAGTTTTGGTATTTGTTTAAGCAGCTTATCTGAGGCATTGCCAATCTAGGAATGCATGTGATGAATCATATTGCCATGCATCAATGATAATTTGAGTGTATTCTTCCTTGTTATACTGTATATTAATTTTCCAGCCTCAACAATGTTGGCAGAACTGTCGGGATTAGACTTGTTTATGGCTGATCTCAGAGCACTAGAGGCATACTCAAATTATTTCTACTGTCTCGTGAAGCTATGGACTGGGCCACTTCCTGAAAAATATGATCCTCAAGAAGTTGCTGACTATTTCAAATTGAGGCCGCACATAGTGGCTTTCCGTCTTCTTGAGGTACTAATATATGTTTCAATTTATTGCATATCTGTGAGCTTCTTTCTGTTTTCTACTTTTCTCAATTTGCTTCCTACCCACTATATTCATGAATCGTGATCATTGAACATAGGAAAGAAAAAGAATAGAAAGCAATTAACTCTGTTTGTGCACCATATGATCTTTGGAACATAAAACTAATATGTCTTTTATCAACTGTTCTTTAATTTCATTATATATGAGAAAGCTGTTGTTAAGTTACTCCCATTTTCTGGCTTGTATATTTGACAGGTATTCACTGCCTTTGCCTCTGCCACAATCAGATTTCAGATCTTTGGGATTCTTCCCACTATGAATACGGAAATTGATAGAGAAACTTCAAGATATGTCTTTGGATGTGTGTTAAAGGAGACAATGCTAAGCTTGGGCCCCACTTTTATAAAAGGTAAGATAGAATATCTTCTGAGTTTAGGAAATGGAAGTATTTATTTTGTTATTTTCTTCTATTGCTTGCTAATTGCACAACGATTATATATTTTCTTTTACCTTGTTGACAAATACAAGCATCCGGGTTCATCTTTCTTGTTTTGCAGTTGGTCAGTCTCTCTCCACAAGACCAGATATTATTGGTTCTGAAATTTCAAAGGTTGGGAAAAATGAAATATGCATGCTCTATATTACTTTGCCTAATCAATTCTGCAATTCATCATATGCTTATTGTAAATCTTGATGATAATAAGCAGCAGCAGTTTGCAGTGCCTTTTTTTCTTGCTTAGTATGCTTTATAGTTGACACTTGAAAATGGGCCATCTAATGTAGCTTATACAGTATTGCATCTTATATTTTCAACACCAGAAAAGTACATCTTAGCAACAAATCTGAAGAGTCATTACCTGTGGATTAAGAAAAAAAACTATATATTGGTCCAGTACGTGTACACCTTTCCTAGTCTTTCCTTGCTTCTTGCTTATATTTCAGCTGACTTCTGACTTCTGACTTCTATATTCTATATTCTTTGCAATTAACGTACATAGATGTCTCTGGTAGATCATGTGGTAGTTTCATTTTTGGTTTAAGTTAATGATTGCAGGCATTGTCTTCACTGCATGATCAAGTCCCTCCTTTTCCAAGGGCTACAGCTATGAAGATTATTGAGGAAGAATTAGGTTCTCCAATTGAAAAAGTATTTAGCTACATCTCTGAGGAGCCTGTTGCTGCAGCTTCATTTGGTCAGGTTGCTTATCTGAGTTTTGCAGATGAAACCCGCACCTTTTAAAGGCTTTCTGATTTGTGGGCTTTGCATATTTTTCAATTATGGTATCTTTACTACGTGTATTGCCTTTTTTTTTTTTTTTTTTTCTGTGTGTTCAGGTCTATAGAGGAAATACTCTTGATGGTTTTAGTGTTGCTGTGAAAGTTCAGCGTCCTGATCTACGCCATGTGGTAGTTCGGGATGTTTATATTCTACGCATTGGGGTATGTGTCCGAGTCCATTTGTTCTGATCCTAAGTTATGCCTGTAGTGTGCTTGCTTAGGTGGCTTAACTTTTTACCATACTGTTTCAGCTGGGTCTTTTGCAAAAGATAGCAAGAAGGAAAAATGATCTTCGCCTTTATGCTGATGAGCTTGGGAAAGGTTTAGCTGGGGAATTAGATTACACATTGGAGGCTGCAAATGCTTCAGAATTTATGGTATTTTAGCTTCCCTTTTTCTTAAAAGCGTGCCAATAGAACCCACCCTGATCCTGTGTCTCCCTTCTGCTAAAAAAAGCTATAGAACTATAGAAATGGAATAACATGAATGTATATGTGTGTGTATGCGTGTATTTACACAAAGAAAATCTTATCTAAATAAATATATATAGAAAATTAGCATAAAATGGGACAAGAAAATTTGAATCTACAGTTTAAACCAAAGACTGATTATAAAAGCAAGTGCCCAATCAACAAAATTGTCTTTCTATGATAAATTCTTGAATGACAGACTTTCTGAGTGAATGTTAATGTTTTCCAGCTTTGAGTAGCTGATGCTGCACTTCACACCAAGAGTTGCTTTTCAGTTTTCTCAAGCTTTTTTGAAACAAATATGCAGGATATACATTCTCGTTTTTCCTTTATCCGTGTACCAAAAGTTTTACCACATCTCAGTAGAAAGAGAGTTTTAACAATGGAATGGATGGTTGGTGAAAGTCCAACGGATTTAATGACGATATCTACAAAGGATTCTGTTGGTCATCATTCAACAAATTCAGAGAGACTGCAAAATGATGCCAAGCGCCGTCTGCTTGATCTAGTGAGTTGAAATTCTCTATTTTCTTTTTATTTGCTTTAATTAGTGTTGAAAAAGATGCTAGGCGTTTATTTATTTATTTATTTAGGGGGTTATTCGCCGCCTAGACCGCCCAGGTGGCCGGCCGGGGAGGAGGCCGATTCTGGCGTTCCTCGACGCGGCCGGGCGCTGCCTAGCGCCTAGGCGCAATTTTTGCAACATTGGCTTTAATAAATATGAACAAGTCGAGACTTCTTAATCGTATAAAGTTCATCAATATTCATTGAGTGGTTAGGCTGTTGAGGTGATTTAACAGAAAAGGTTCTAGAAATTCAAAATCTTGAATCTCCCCTCTATGATTACAATTTTTCTTCTTCTTCTTCTTCTTTTACCAAAATGATATTCAGTCTTAAATATTTATTTTATTTTTTTGTACTTGCATTCACAGTGCTCATTGATCCCTTTGCTTTGGTAATACTTTAGGTAAACAAAGGAGTAGAGGCATCACTAGTTCAACTCATTGAGACTGGCTTACTGCATGCTGATCCACATCCTGGAAATCTGCGTTACACTTCTTCAGGACAAATAGGGTGAACTCATTTGATACCCTTACTGCAGAGCATTAGATAATCTCAATTGATAAGATGTCATATATTAATAAATTTTGTTTATCTATCAATTACTTCAGGTTTCTTGATTTCGGATTGCTTTGTCGGATGGAAAAGAAGCATCAGTATGCCATGCTTGCGTCCATAGTGCATATTGTAAATGGTGATTGGGCATCTCTTGTGCAGGCACTTTGTCAAATGGATGTCATAAGGCCAGGGACTGATATGAGACTTGTTACCATGGTACTTCCTTTAAGATCAATGCTTACTCTTTCAAATTTTTCTTCTCTAATTTGTCATTAAGGATTTACTTGAAATGGTGAAGGATTTTTCATTACTGAATTAGCTTATCAAATTCTTTTACTTAGCTAACTTTCCTGTTGTGTACATAATTTTAGGAACTGGAGATTGCTTTAGGAGAAGTTGAATTTAAGGATGGAATTCCTGATGTAAAATTTAGTCGGGTAAGAGTCGTATCTTCTGATGCTAGTGTTTGTCATTTTTTTATTATTAAAAAATCACATGACTAAAGAATAATGCCTTTTAGTTCTCTCTATCAAATATTCTACTCCTTTATATTATCCAAAACTTATTCTGTGGCAATGAAAAATGATGAACTTTAGTGCCTGTCTGCCTGACTGTTTGCAATCTGAAATTATCATATTTTGAACCTCAATACTTAATGGATGGAAATCAGCCTCATTAACCATATTGCTTGCATAGTTGGCAAGCAACTTGTTGAACATGATACTATTTTGAAGATATCTTTGTTTCTTAGTGTGCTCACTTGGGATTGGCTTCAAACTCCACCTTTTCTTTCCCTTTTTTATTTGCAAAACCTTGTCTAGAAAAGGGTGAGATGCTGAAGTTATCTGCTCTATTGCTCTGGTCTGTACATTATGTTGTTGCTCCAATTAGCTGGCTAATCATTGTGATACTTGTTCTGAAGGTTCTTGGTAAAATAGTGTCTGTGGCATTCAAGTATCATTTCCGCATGCCTCCATATTATACCCTTCTCCTCCGGTCTCTTGCTTCGTTAGAAGGTATATCATCAAATCACATGCCCTTTTGTATATTAAGATATTCATATATTGATGTAGAATGGCTTCCTTCCACCTCTAACGTGGCGTCGCCTAGGCGTCCTGTCGGTGGAGACAGGACGCCTGGAGGCTTCGCCTCGCCTGAAAATGGTGAGGCGAGCTCTGGCGTCGCCTAGGCATCCCCGATGACGCCAAGGACGCTGATTCGGCGTCCAAACCCATAAACCCTACCCATTTTTAACTTTATTTTTTTTTTTAAAAAATGGTATGACTGCGTCGGCGACTTCCCTCGAACTGACAGAGAAGAAGAAAGCCAATCCAGTGACCCACAGCCACCGCCGTGGGTCGTCATCGGTGCTTCTTTCTTCTGCCACCGCCGCCGTCGACTGCCATTCTTGATTTTTTTCTTCCTTTTCCTTCTTTCTTTCTTCTTGGCTTCTTCGTTCAGACTTATTTACTTTATATTTACTTTATTACTCCTAGAAAGTTGTAGCCTTTTTCTGCTTCTGTTTTGTAAATGAAAGCTACTGCAGCTACAACTTCCTAGAGTATAATAAATAAGGATGCCTATTTCCAACAAAATATATACGGAGTATATAATATATATATATATATGTGCTGGCAGTGCACTGTGCTGCACTGCTGCCACATATATTATATATAATTAATTCTTCCCAATATATATTCTCATATTATTATTATTATTATTATTATATTATATAAAATATGCTGGCAGTAATTGTTGTATAATATGAAAATATATATATATATATATATATATATATATATATATATATATATATATATATTACTCATCGCCTAGGCGGGCGCCTAGGCGACAAGGCGGTCGGGGAGCGCCGCGACTTAAAAGGGCGCCGTGATAACTATGGTTAAGATATGTTGTGCACTTTGGGGTGGCATATATGGTGACAACAGGGACATTCTGAACAAATGCTTTGCCAAACTTGCAGAGGATATTGTTAGTTGTTGACTTGTTGTCTTGAACCATAGTAGTAAACTAAAGCACTAGGATTCTCTCCTTTTCATTCATGTTATATACTTATATTTCTTTGTTGATTAATTTGTGAAGTTAATTTCCAGTTTCATCATTATACATAGGGATCTAGTTCCTTCTGAATCAACTAAGATTTAACCCTTGCTTGGTATTCTCAGGATTAGCAATGGCTGCAGATCCAAAGTTTAAAACATTTGAAGCTGCTTACCCCTATGTTGTTCGGAAACTTCTCACAGATAATTCACCTGCCATGAGGAAGATCCTACACTCTGTATGGTTTAGCCTGGAATAGTGCTTTATGTGTGTGTGTTGATGTATATGTATATATTGATGTTAGAAGTATTGTATGTCAAAGTTCTCATACATGCTCTGAAAAATTCAATCTGCTACTCTATCTATTGTGACTCCTATTTGGGAATTCCCTTGTTCTGTTGTAGAATGTTATATTTTATGCTATTAATTGATGATATAAGTCAAGGTTACATAACCTATTATGTTGGTTTCTTATCTTTATTTGTTTATGTGCAGGTGGTCCTGAATAGAAGGAAAGAATTCCAATGGAAAAGGCTTTCTCTTTTCTTAAGAGTTGGAGCAACTAGGTATACCATTTATCTTTTCAGCACTCTTTTAATTGGTAACAGTTTTTGTGACTGTATTATAACTTCTGCCTACACCTCAAATTTATCTAATTGGTTGGTTTCATTAAGACCTCTGCAAACTCTTTGTTTAGCATTATTGGATTTCTTTTTTCCACTTGTTGCAAACAATCACTTCAAAAAATTTGTTCCACTATTGTGCTTTGACGTGCTCTGTTGGCAATTATGTTTCCACCAGTCAGAAGGATTTGTTTTTTAAAAAATTAATTTCTTCCCCATATCTATTTAATAAAAATATTGCCTTGTAGACTTGTTGAGAGTTCTTGGAACTGAATTTCTGAAACTTTACCACTTGACTCAACCATCAATTGCTTTAATAGGTTAAATATAAAAACAGTCTGTGTCGTAGACTCGCTCGCACCTATTTCATATATACAAAGTTTTCAATATTATATGGAGTCGTTAAAATGGAGGAAACACTCCCTCACATTGAGTCTTTTACTGTCTGTTTAGGAAAGGGTTGCATTCTGTGCTGGGGTCCAACTCTCAAGAATCACTTGTTTATTCTGCCAAGGAAGTCAGTGGGACAGTTGATGTTGCAAACTTGGTGGTAAGATTACTACCCTCTAAAGATGGTGCAGTGCTAAGAAGGCTCCTGATGACAGCAGTGAGTACCTTTCAGCTATGACAGCCTGAATAAAAACCCACATAAAATATGCCACTTTGCTCATATGTTTCTTTCTCTTCTAGTAGTGTTAGAATTCATGTTGCTGATACATCATGGCTATAGTTCGTACATTTGCGACACACAATGACCCCCTCCCCTCTCCCCACCATGTCCTTGTCACTATCCACCATTATTTTTAATTTTACTGATTCTGCCCTTCACTCCTGATACAGGACGGAGCTTCATTATTTCGTGCAATGGTTTCAGAGGAGGCAAATGTCTTCCGTCAACATTTCTGCAGGGTTCTTGCAGATGTACTGTATCAATGGATGTCTAAAGCTCTGGGAAAAGCTACACAGTTCAGTTCCGACGTTCAGTTGGCAACTGGAACGGCTATCTATGATTATAAACTGATCCTGAGAGATCAACGGCTCAAAGTGATTTTCTTCAACGCACTTTCTTCTGCAAGGAAAGATCCAATCCTGATGCTGAGATCCTTCTTCTCCCTGTGCGTGATCTTTGTCAAAGCTTCAGCTTTGGCTTGTCATCGCGTCCTTGTTTCTTTCTCCGAAACTTACTTGGATCGTCTATCTTTTGCTCCAAGGAAATTCGCAATGGGTGCCAATTCATAGGAATGCTTGCACTTGACTAGAGGCAGCCATGGTTTTCTATCTACATAGTACGTGTTGATGTTCTCTTTCGGCTTCAATAAATTACTACAAAACATACAAAGTGTTGTATATAAACGCTATCTTTTTTCACCAGTTCTGTATATTAGTGCATTTATATTTCTAATTATAGCAACTAAAATTAGGTAGGTATCAGATACCATTAGAGGTAGATGTATTCGGTGATTAGTGCATTGTATTAATTATTTAAATTTGATTGATTGATTGTATTAGCTAATTTGATTCATCAATTAATTGCGTAATTAATGTTTGGTAAAATTAGTTGTTAATGATCTGGTTGAATATGTAAATTGAATAACAACTTTTTTTTACATATTTATTTTATAAAAATACAAAAGCGTTTTTTGATAATAATTGCAGCTCCATATGGATATAGATATGGGGAAAAGAAATTTAAAAAATGAAAAATGTATTATTTTGCTTCCTTTATTAATATGATCAACCTTTGCTATTTTTAGTAAAACCGAACATGCAGATACGTGAGACACTAGGCTAGTTTTGAAATTGAGATCACGTTTGTTTTCCCGTCACCTTCACACTCACACTCCGATCGATCTCTAACACGGCAACACCTCCTCACAAATTCCGTACTACAATGGCTTTCGTTTTGTGTTGAAGCTCACTTTATAGTATCCGCTTTCAGTACTATAAACACTACTCTAAACATACAGTACTCGTCTGATAATCACCGGATCGCATATCTCAGGTATAGAATACTATATACGCAGCGCGCGGGCAAATTAAATTGTTTTGTGTTTATTATCGGCAGATCTGGAACGCGTTGTGTGTATGTGTGAATTGTGGAAATGCCGGTGTTGTGTGATCGAGGATGGCCGGAGTTTGAGACTGAATTTTTGTGTTTTGTTAAGTTGTAGGTAGGTACATTGATTTTGCTTGAGCAAGATGAGCAGTGGCAATATGAATACGGGTTTCACGCGGCTGTGCAAGGGGATAGCGGTGGTGCTTGTCGGTGGCTACACTGTTGTTCAGATTGTCCCCTCTGCTCTTTCCTATCTCGCACTTATCCCTGCTAAGTATTTTTCTTTCTTTCTTGCTTGCTTAATTATATTGCCAAAACAATCTGTTTTGCATTCCATTCCGCTGTTGTCTGATTTCTGTTCGGAATGTATTATATCTGAGACCTTAATCTGAGCTGAACTGTAAAGATCATGATTTTTTAAAAAAGAAACCAATAATGGGAATAGAGGAATCTTGAATTGGCCTAGCCAAATTGACTCATGTGGTGGTTGCTCCAGTTTCAAGGCCTTGTTATACACAAAAATTCATTGGATTTGGAAAATATAATATAGGTTTCTATTTTTCTTCTAGGGATTGGATCGGAGGTGATGCCTGTGATCGATGATGTGTGGAGGTTTTATGATTGAAACTCAGGGTTTGAATGTTGGAATGTTAAATGTTTTGGTTCCCAAAAACAACTATTTCTGCTGTTGGCACATAGTTAATCATTATTGAAACTATATTTTATCTTGTGGTGATGACAAGCGGTCGGACATTATATTTGTAGTCTTTGATTGCTCTATGTAGACAGAGTAGAGAACTCTCACCATGTGTACTGTCACGCTGTGATTATCATTTATCAGACTTGCAGATCGAGTAACACTTGTAATGCTTTATTGAACGCACCCATTATTTGCTGTTTTTGCAGGACTATTCCCTTTGCATGGAATCTTATAACAGCTGGTTATGTTGAGCAGTCCATATATGGGGTATGTCTATTTTTATTTTCTTTGCATAATCTTCTACCTTATATTTCAAAGAGCTTTAAGAAGTTTAGTATTATTTATGTGTAGGTGGTTGTCAGCACTGTTGGTCTACTTTTCATTGGAAAGCTGCTTCAACCTATTTGGGGTTCTAAGGGATTTCTGATGTTTATCTTCATTGTCAACTTTTTGACTGCTGTTTGTGTTTTCGTCACTGCTCTCTCATTGTACTACGTAACGAGAGACGAAAGCTACCTGTAAGTGATGCATGCGGGATCTGATCTTTTCTATGTTTAGCCCTTCATCTCCAAATCTCGTTACTTGTCCAATTTATCACATCCGCTTTCTCTTACTTCTCCTTCATATTCTGATCTCCATTCTTTTGTCTCTAGGTTCTAGTGTTCTACACTTTTGAACTTCAATTCCCAGTATGATATGATATTATGCTTTTACTGTATGCATATATATATGTCAAAGATGAAGCTCAGTAGCTTCTGATTTTTCTTAATTTTCTTTGTCAACCTCTTTGATAGTTATCTGCCTATTTCCGGCTTCCAAGGGGTCCTTTATGGTCTCTTAGTTGGTGTCAAGCAAATCATGCCTGACCAACAGTTGCCTTTCTTGAAACTAAGAGCAAAGGTAAAATCTCAAGAATTATTATTTGTGAACGAGCTAGTGAAAACATGTTTATAGCTTCTCGATCTTTCTCACACCTTGGGGATGTTTGCAGTGGCTGCCTACTCTTGCACTGCTGCTGTCTATTGCTATAATAAGTTTGTTCACAGTGGATTCAGTATCGTACCTTCCTACTTTAGTATTTGGCACATATATAGGATGGATTTACCTCAGATACTGGCAGAGGAAACCAGAAACCAAACTCAAGGGCGATCCAAGTGATGAATTTGCATTCTCCACATTCTTCCCTGAATTTCTCAGGTAATCTTGAATTGTAATATATTATATGCTGTCAAGTTTCTTGGGAATTTATTTGCATTTTCTCAATGTATGTATTTGATGCAGACCTGTGATTGATCCCATCGCTGCTATATTTGATCGAATGCTGTGTGGTAAAAGATCTGAGGCTTCAAATGAAGAGACAGGCTATACTCTTGGAGTTGCCCTATTGCCTGGTTCTGACCCTATTGAAGCATCTAGGAGGAGGTAATCTATCAGACCCTTTCATATATTGGTAAAATGATTCAGATTTCTTAAGGATTGATAAATTGCAGGGAAAGAGGTGCAAGGGCACTGGAAGAAAGATTGGCAGCTGAGAGGCTGGCTGCTGGAGCTAAGGCCGAAGAGTCACAACGAGATAATAATGTTGCAATTAGATTGGCATCAGATAATGTTTAGATCGATGTTGCCTTGCCTGCCAAGAAGAAATGCAAAGCTTTATTACATATAATACCTGCAAATCAAGATATCCAAGAATATCTGTCTGTCCGCAAGACACAAACAAGAGACCATACGTTTTTGGCAGCTAAGTCTTTAGATTCTTGATACAAGTTTTGTTGCATGTTCATTGTGGTCTGGGTATAGTAGCTTTTGTCTTGTAGTTTTCTGTTTTTTGTTCATTCAAGATTGAAAACTCAGTTCTTTGAATCTTTGTAGATAATTATTAGCTCCTCTCAAACTGTTTTCTGCTATACCATACACCTATGGGTGGAAATGAACCGATGTATTTTATGCATATAAATAATGAATCTTATGATACAAATATTAAGATTTGGGTATGAATCTGAACCTATAATTATAAATAAATGGTAGGTCATATTTGGGGCCACCCCTACATACGCCCAGTATAGATATTAGATACACACATACATACAGTGCAAGAAGTTGATTATATATCAACCTACTTCTAGTTGTGTTTGTTGTTGACAAAAGAGAAATCATTGGACACAATCTGAATTTCATGTTGGTCGTCGTTAGAGCTTAAGTTTCTCCGGGGAGAAGCGGAAGTGGCGGCGGCGGAATTGGCCCAGACTTGGTCGTCAGAGGCAGGTCCCCGGGGAGACGCTTGGAGGCTATCGGCGGCGTTATGTTGGAAGTCGCTTAGCAAGTGAACAGGGGACATCCCGTGCAGTGGCGTCGCCGGCCTGCTTGTAAACGGGGTGGAGTTTTCTGATCGCTGCCCGCGCCTCGCCCGCTGCCTGGCTGCACGGTGCCACGTCTTTATTGCCGATGCTACGTTGTCGCCGAAGATCACCGGTTTCATGCTTGACCCCATCTGTTCATACATCATCGTAAGTTGAAGGACATATGGTTTTAATTTAGTTTGCAGAGTTTGAGGATGCTCGCTGGGAATTGGGAAAAAATGAAAAATACCTGTGTAACTAAGGCATAGAGAGGGAGTGTGACATAGCTGCACAGAATTTGTATTATCACCCTACAACTCAACAATATAATCAAGATTAAGAGAGATGTGAGGTGTTTTAAATTTGTGGTTGACTACTTATTGAGCATATAACTATTAATGTGCAATCTAACTATTAGCTTAGTCTTTTAGTTGAGATGGAGCACATGCTTCAATTATACTCACCCCATTGACAGCCTGATAGCTATGTCTGCAGCATTCCTGTGGAAGCAAGAAAATAAACCAAACTTAACCTGCATTATCACACAAAAAAATGATCAGAGGGTAGTAAAACCTATATATATATTGTATACTGATCGAAAAGGACACCCAGAAATCCATTGAAAATTTGGCAGTGTAGTGCTTACCCAGCTCCAGAAAAAGAAAGCAACTTGGAATGCATTCTGCAGTGCAGATCAAGAAAAAAAAAATAAAAATTTACATACAAAATCCTCAAATCTATTTGTTAATATATGAATGAAGTAAGGTGGGATGGGAAGGGAATTGAATGGACCTGAAAGAGAACAAAACGAATGAAGAAGAGCATTAAAGAAGGGCGATTGAACCAGAAAAGATTATCTCCAGGCTCAACCACTGGTGCTCCCTTCAATACATCTCCCCTTTCTTGAATTCTCCCTCCCATCTTTGTTATGATCATTTGAAGCTTTGCCCCCACCACCAGCAGTATCTGAATTGCAACCACCCATTTTTCCCAATATAAAACGAACTGATCGATGATTCAATTCAAAACATTATTATATATATTGCATGCATGAAATTAAACACCCAGCCATAACTTCAATTCAATTTTCTTACAATTAGAGGAATAAATGGCAGCCAGAGATACGAGTACCATCCTGATCCAACAACCAAAAACCCACTCTCAAATCCATATATAAATGCCCAATAATATAATGCTTAATTAAAATCTGTACATACACTAATAAATATATATAAATGGCTTACCATTGGTGTTTGTAAGAAAAGACAGAACTGCAAACACCCATAATACTGGACTGCAACACACAATTAACGCACTTAAGTCGATCTCTTTAACTTTAACAGTAATAAGCAAACCATTCAAGAAAGGGGAAAGACCACAAATTTTTAGCAGAAAAAAGAAAACCTTATTCCAACCACTTTTTTGATATCTTCTTCAAGTGCCATATTAATGTACAACCGGAAATCAAAATTTACTTCATTCTCAGGTGGTAAATGTGCCTGCACATATTCAATTAACTACTGTAGTAATTGTTTTGTATGTAGATAATTACCCTGCACTTAAAAAAAAAAAAAAAAAGCTGGATAATCAGTTGCAGCGTACCATTACAAAGCCGTGCCTGAGGGTGGTATAATCAACTTCTGCAACTGAACTAAAAAATTGTCGGAAAAAACAAGCCTGCACCATATAAACACATACAGGTCAAAAATAAAACAAAATTAATAACTAACATTAGGAAGATCATATCATATGCCACGGGCATTGCCATACACATTTTGATCTAATAACAAAAAAGAGAAACGAAAAATGTTGGTTGGGCTTACAATCCATAGAAGTATTGGCGACTTGCTCCAAAAGTTCGAATGTCGTTGTACAAATGATGTGTCTCTTGCATATCGGAACCTCTCAGGATCTGCAGCATGCATCTATGCAATATGACTTTTATAGTAGTAAAGAATAATTTTTTTTTTTTAATTTAATTACCATTGTAGAATTGGTAGTCAAGTGTTCTTGTCCCATCCTCCCAAGCTTTCCAAGTCCTCATCTGCATTTAATTTCAGTTCAATTAGAATAACTGAATATATCCAATTCTGTAGTTTTCACTAGTCCTCCATCATCTATCCTCTCTTATCTCTATCATCTTCCCCTTATTTTTACAATACTGCTAACGACTCTACAACAAAATTAATTATATATTAAACGTGACAAAAATTGTTCTCGACTGGACCAAATTGAAACTTGAATGAATTGAATTAGATTCATTCAATACCTTTAGTCTGCCCAGCCCCCAAGTTGTAATGCTATACAGCACATGAGTTACTGCCAATGCAAAAATAAAGATGTGCAGCTGGTGTATTGCATATGAGGATGCAAATTGGACTTTTCCCTGCATATGCATATATGCATATATATCAGTAAACAAAACTTAACTAATTTAATTAATTAAAAACCAATATAATATAATTAAATAATCAAGAAACTATAAATTACTAGTGTGTATATATATATAATCAACTGAAACTGTACTAGTAGTCTTGTGAGAACGAATCTCATCAATTTATATAAAATGATGAAAATTGAGGATAAAAAGAGAAAGGGAGAGAAAAGTATATATTAATAATACCTTTTTTATGCAAGGGTCATCTATTTTAGATGGGTCTTTGATTTTGTCACAAGGATGCCAAGAGTTTCCAACACTTTCGGGGATACATATGTTAGACACTGGGTCTTGAAATATTGTCAGCAACAGTGATATGAACCCCATAAGCATCAGCTCTGTTACAAATATAATTTTTTTTTTTTCATAATTAACTATAATCAAGATATAAATAAAGTTTAAAAATTAAAGATAATAATTATATAATACCTGCTTTAATCTTGTCTAGTGCTTCATGTAGAGCTTTCTTGTGCTTCCTCAATAGCCACTGTCAAAAAAATTAAAGAGAGCAAATAAAACATTTTTCAATGTTGTTTTGATCTTACATACACTGATATCTCTTACCAAAAATTAAAGAGATTGATTTCAATGATTGAAAAAAAAAAAAAAGGTGAATTCTTTTGAAATTGTATTCTTAGATAGATTCTCTTTTGCATGATAGTATAGTAGTGAAGTAAGAAATGCCAAAAAAAAAAAAAAAAAATTCAACCCAGCAAGCTAAGCAGAAATATGGATAATTTAATGAATTGAATTTAAGAGTAAAGATGGAGTAAAGAGTTGTAAAAGGTACGTACCATTCCAAGGTGATGAAAGAGTTGTTCAATGGCAATAGAAATGGCGACGAGTATGAAGCAGACGACGGCGATAGCCCACGTCGGCGTCGCCTCCATGGTACGCTCCTTGCCCGCCATTAACGTCTCTAAGCTACCAAGCTCTGATCTTCTGCAATTATTTACAAGACAGATGGACGATGGGGACTTGAAAGAGATAGTGTTTAATACCTTGGGTGTGTGTATATATAATGCAATTGCCAATACATATAAAATGTCAAACAGTGATGACTTTTCCTAAAAGTAGTAATTTATATGATGAACATGACCACCACTTGGTCAAAACATTGAATTAGTATTCTTCTCCCAAATTGAATTAGTATTCTTAATTCTTCTCTAGGTAATTCCAAACTCTACTCTTTTACTTTTTTTGTTAAAGAAAAAGATAAAACTTCATTAAGCATCAATAAGAGATGAGATACAGGTTGGTGGCACAGTGAACCACGAACCTAAGCCAAACATAGAATTCGTAGCCCGTGCTAAGACATGAGTTAAATGATTCTCTAGCAAATAATGACGGATTATTTTCATTCTGTGAATGTAAAAAAAGATATCTACATACAAAATTTGTGTGAGAAAATAAAATGTAAGAGTAAATTTTTAGAGTCCAAATAATATTTTTCTTCGTGATATATATATATATATATATATATGGTCTGTCCAAATTTTCTTGTTTTTGTTTACTAAAAATTAATTTGATTATGTTTTTTTTTTTTTTTAGAATAACGGCCAAATAAGTCATTCAACTTGTATGAAAAATGCATTTAAGTCATTGAACTCTAAAAAGCTTTAAATAAGTCATTGAACTTGAAAATAATGCAATTAGACTATACTCTTTTTAATTAACTACCTTCTATAGCAGGTTAACGATATGTTATAGGTGATTTAGGAGTGACCGTGATTCCAGTTCTAAATTGACAATTTCGATTTGAAATGTCGATTCGAATCGGTTTATTTTTATTTTTATTTTTTTAAATTTTATTATTTTTAATTTTTTAAATAGTCCAAATTCAACAATTTTTTTTTGGAATTTCGTCATTCTATTTTTTAAAATGATTATTTCAAATATTTAAATTTTAAAATTAAACTAAAAAATAAATAAAATTTTGGGCTTGCACTTAATTTTTTCAAGATACGTAAGTAACTTAAGGCAAATTTCATGCACCAGGGCGCACAAGCCCTAAGAATTTATGTGTATTATGTATTATATATGTTAGATTATGTGTATTATGTTAGGAGTTTATGTGTATTCTACTATACAATTATGTACATACGAAACATGAGATTTTTAAGGCCCACAATTTACTTGTGCAGGATATAACAATGGGCAACTTAATGTTGGTAAAATTAAATGCAAGCCCAAAATTATTTTTATTGTTTAATTTAACTTTAAATTTTAAATATCTGGTATAACTATTGCTTTTTTTTTTTTTTTTTAGAATGATTTTTTTTTTAAAAAAAAAGAATTAATTGTTGAATTTGGACTATTTTAAGAATAGAAAATAGGATTTACCAAAAAAAAAAAAAAAGTTCGAACCGACAAGTCAAATAACTGGAATTGTTGGTTCGTCATTTTTCGAAATTGAAAATTGACGATTAGGAACTAGAACCGTGGTCACCCTAAGTCAGCTATAAGCCTATAACTTGTTATTAAACCGTTATAACAGGTAAAAAATAATTTAATTACACAATTCTTTCAAGCTAAGTCCAATGACTTTTTGAAGCTTTTTAAAGTTTGATGGCTTTACACTTTCATAAAAGTTGAATGACTTATTTCACCTTTATTATTATTATTATTATTTTTATATGTCACTCTTTAGTAATTAAATACCGAGTAACAAATATGATATTCATTGATTAGGGTAGGTATAGTGAATGATAATATGCTACTCATTGATTAGGGTAGGTATAGTAAATGATAACAATAAGAATGTATTGGCATGCAATAGGTAAATAAATAAAGTAGCATTGATTAGGGTAGGTATAGTAAATGATAAGAATAAGAATGTATCGGCATGGAATAGGTAAATAAATAATATTAATTTTTAAGGACAACTTATCCAAGTTATAACATAGTTAATTGAGTAATTTTACAAGTTCAATTGAATCAATTCAGATTCTTTTTGATTGAAAGGGTTAGGATACTGGACAACTTAGTTTGACTTTTGTGGTGGTCAAAAAGATTAGTCACATAAGAAGTTGGAAAAATAATTGTACTTATCATTTGATTAAAAATATATATAATACAAGATCTTGTTCCAACGAAAATAAAATATGACGTGGTAACTAAACAACTTTACGTGGTACACTCATACGCTATATTAGTCTGACACGGAACTGATACAGTAGAAAAGAAGAAGCCCTTGATTGGTATATCAACCGAATTCTTCGGTTGTTTTTATTGACCGGCACAGAGAAATAATTGAAGCTAATTTCACTCATTTGATCGAGATCTCCATTGCGCCGGCCGCCGGACCTTTTTCTTGGCTTAAGTTTCTGTGAGGTTCGGCGGAAGTGCCGCCGGAATTGGCCCAGACTAAGTCATCAGCGTCGTCGTGGTCGGCAGAATTTTGTTGGTACTCGCTTAGCAAGTGAACAGGGGAGCCGTGCAGTGGGCTGGCGTGCTCCGACCGCCGCCCGTGGCCGTGCTTCGCCCGGTACTTGGCCGCATGCCGCCAATTTTTTATCGCCGATGCTACGTTGTCGCCGAAGATGACCGGTTTCATGCTTGACCCCATCTGTTCATATATATATATATATAATTCAGACATCATTGTAAGTTCGGAGAAATCGATGATGCGTTCTGTCTTAACTTAAAAGTTTATACGGATAAAAGAAATACTTGATTGACTAAGGCGTAGAGAGGGAGTGTGACATAGCTGCACAGAAAATGTATTATGACCCTGCAACAATATAATCAAGATTATTCTAATTTAGAGAACTGAAAATCCATAAAAAATTAAGAGAAATGTGAGTTGTTTTGTGGTTGAACTCACCCCATTGACAGCCTGATGGCTACGTCTGCAACATTCTTGTGGAAGCAAGAAGGTACACCAAACTTGTACTGCATTATTACAGGAAAAAAAAAAAAGAGGGTCACACTTCTGATGATTGAAAAGGAAACCTCAACTCCGACTAAATTGGTTAGATGGGGTAACCACATGGTTACAAGTTTCATTTTTGTTAGAGTGACATATTGACCTTTTTGGTTTAAGCTAGTCAGTCATGAATAACTTAATTAAGTTGGTTTAATTTATCTCTTTGTGATCATTTACCAGTTAGGATCACCGCGAGGTTTCCCTAATACATATTTCAGATACTGACTGCTGATTTCCCTTGTCACTATTAAAAAAAAAAAAAGAGAAAGCCCAAAAATCCATTGAAAATTTGGTAGTATATATAGTGCTTACCCAGCTCCAGAAAAAGAAAGCAACTTGGAATGCATTCTGCAGTGTTAACAAAGACAAAATGTTCCCAATTCAATTCCTCAAATCTAGTATTTGTTAATATAATGTATGAGGAGATGGGAATGAATTATATAGAACCTGAAAGAGAACAAAATGAATGAGAAAGAGCATAAAGGAAGGGCGGTTGAACCAGAAAAGATTATCGCCAGGCTCAACCACTGGTGCTCCCTTCACTACATCTCCACTTTCTTTAATTCTCATTCCCATATTTGTTATGATCACCTGTAGTTTTGCTCCCACCACCAGTATTATCTGCAACTTCCATTTTAATTAATTTCCCACTATAATAATACACACCTTTAACTCCAATGATAACACTACTCAAATTCATATGCATTTTTTCTTACGAATAAAGGAATAAATGGCAGCCAAAGATACGAGTACCATCCTGATCCAACAACCAAAAACCCAATGTCACATTCAACTCAAAACCATATATAAACAATGGGCAATGCTTAAAATCTGAATTATATTATTTCTGTACAGCTAGTAAAGTGATTATTATATATATATAAATGGCTTACCATTGGTGTTGGTAAGAAAAGACAAAACTGCAAACAGCCATAATACTGGACTGCAACACACAATTAACCACAGATCAGAAAATGCAATTGAGTCTCTTCAACAGTAATAAGCAAGCCAACCATGGAAGGAGAAGGACAACAGGGGTAATCAAGTTCGTCCAACTTGTTAATTTGGTAACACAATGTTACAAATTTAATTTCTGGTAAAAGTAGTCATTTAACCTTCTTGGTTTGAGCCAGACAACTATGAGCAACTTAAGCTCTATTTACCTCCTCGTGTTCTTTTGTTAGTTAAGGTCATAAGGCGCAATTTACACCGAGCACACCCTGGCGTAACCACTGCTGATTTTCCTTATCATTAAAAAAAAAAAAAAAGAGAGAGAGAGAGAGAAGGACAATAATATTTTAGGACAAAAACCTTATTTCAACCACTTCTTTGATATCTTCCTCTAGTGCCAGAGAAATGTACATCTGGAAATCAAAATTTGGTCGATTCTGAGGTGGTAAATGTGCCTGCAGATATTCAATTAAGTACTGTAATTATTATGTATTTATGTAGATTATCAAATTACCATTCAAAAAAAAAAAAAAGATGAAAACAAGTAGCTAGACAGACAATCAGTTGCACCGCACCATTACAAAACCGTGCCTGAGGGTGATATAATCAACTTTTGCAACCGAACCAAAGAATTGTCGGAAAAAACAAGCCTGCAAATAAAAGACAAGGAAAAAAATGAAAGAAATTAATTGATAAAAAGTAGTTAAAACTTAAAACATATTTATTAAATTATTAAATTTGAGTTTATTGTTATTGTAAAAATTTTCTTATGGTATATTAATGTTAATATGTGCTAAATACATTTTAATTTAGTACAATAAAAATAAGAGTCGGAGATATTTTGAAACAAAAAGATAAACCAAAATAAAAAAATGTTGGGCTTACAATCCAAAGAAATATTGATGACTTGTTCCAAAAGTGCGAATGTCGTTGTACAAATGTCGTGTCTCTTGCAAATCTGAACCTCTCAGGATCTGTGACCACAAATGCTTAATTTCAGATAAAATTTTATTTTATCTTAAAAATAATAATGCCAAAGAAATTTTCAAAAAGATAGAATGATACTTATTCTTCACTCCATTTGTTAAGACAAACAAGTAGCCAGGTAACATCAAAATGTGTGATTAAGAGTTTTTTTTTTTTTTTTTTAGTAAACATTTTCAACCACCGTCTATAGTAGAAACACCATCTTATTGGGTTTTATGTCTTCCAGCAAAAATTGTGAAAAATTGTATATAGGGTTGAAAGTGTATCTTGTTCAAATTAAAGTTTGTCAATCATAAAAGAATGTAATTAATTAGTAATATTGAGTATTGACAATTTTGATCACTGGTCAATAATACCAAGACCACTTTGGTCTAATGGATGGATCGGAGCATAACTCTCACACTTAAAGTCTAAGCGTCAAATGTTCAGTTTTTGTCAATATCATCTCAATTGAGTCGGTACACAAAGTCTTCATAGTGTGATTTATATTTTCTATGTGATTTGAGAATTATTACATAAGTGTGCGTGACATTTATCCAAAGTAGGAAAGGAATTGTAAATTTGTTACCATGGTAAAACTGGTAGTCAAGTGTTTTTGTCTCATGTTCCCAGTCTTTCCAACTTCTCATCTGCATTATTCAATTATATATTGATAATAAGCCATGAAGTCCAATCGTTAGTATTGAGCAGTCTTCATCATCTTACCCCTACTTTCACGACATTAGGACTTAGGACAAAATGAATAACTAACTTATGACTTTTCTATTATAAGACAATAATTCAACACACGTGGTACTATATACTTCTGCTAATATATATATAATCATTTTACGAGGCACATTAATCAGATTAACAAATAAATTTAAATTATGAATTGTGATTAATTAATTAATTACCTTTAGTTTGCCCAGCCCCCACGTTGTAATACAGTACACCACATGAGTCACTGCCAATGCAAAGATAAAGATGTGGAGCTGGTGTATTGCATAGGCAGAAGCAAACTGGACTTTTCCCTGCATATATGCATATAAAATACAATAACCTTATGTAACGGACTCGACTGAGAAAATGTTTGACAAGAATTCAACTATTGACTTTTAAGTATAAAAATATATTCTACCCACTTGACCACCGTACCTCTTTTAAAAAATAATAATTTAAAACAATTTTCTTATTTTCCTTTGAAAAATAGTTTTTTCATCTTCTTTCCAACTTAACAAACGTAAAAACTGGCATAAGTTCATATATAATAACAATTATTGGTACTCCTACAACCTACCTACCCACGCACGCACACACACATATATTTATTGGCATCTGATCTAAAGACACCTACCTGAGCCACTAGTACCCTTATCTACTTAAATACCTATCTTTTTCTCACTTCATATTGCTGTAGATAAAATATATTATGAAATAACAACTTTACATTTAGTATTTATAGCAATGCCATCGTTCTTTTCCATTTATAATAGATTGCAATTTTTAAAATAAGTATATTCTCTTATTTTAGCTTTTTATATTAAAGAATGAAAGATTAAAAAAAAAAAAAAAAGAGGAGAAAAGTATATTAATAATATATACCTTAGCTTTGCATGGGTCTTCTATTTCGGATGGGTCTTTCATTTTGTGACAAGGATGCCAAGAGTTTCCAACACTTTTGGGGACACATATATTAGACACTGTGTCTTGAAATATTGTCAGCAACAGTGATATGAACCCCATAAGCATCAGCTCTGTTACAAATTAAACATAATTAATTATTTTAATTAGGAGTTTAATAATATATATAATCGAGATATTAAAAAATATATAAAAACACATATTAAAAAATATAATTGAGATAATAATTATATTATTATACCTGATTTGATCTTCTCAAGTGATTCATGTAGAGCTTTCTTTTGCTTCCTCAATAACAACTAAAAAACACAAAAAATAATTGAAATTCTTCAATTAAGGTCACTTAAGGGTGGTTGAAAAAGAAATGATTTCTTTTATATTTTCTTTTTGGATATATATATATATATATATATATATATATATATATAGCATCGAAATAAGAGGTACTGAAGTCTTAGCTTCCTGCATATATATAAATATAGATATATGTATGTATGTATGTATGTATGTACCGCTCCAAGGTGATGAAAGAGCTGTTCAATGGCAATGGAGATGGCAATGAGTACAAAGCAGACGACGGCAATTGCCCACGTCGGCGTGGCCTCCATGGTACGCTCCTTGGCGCCGCCAGCCATTGATGACGTCTTTATATATATCAAGCTAAGCTAGCTTTATTTTGAAGATGGAGATGGAGATCGAAAGGGAGGAATTTTCAGAAGATATGATGATGAGAGATTAACGTATGTATGAAGGCAAAACTAGTTGAGTTGTATGTAATATAATGGCTCGCTCGTTCCTTAGCTTGTATTTATATCAAGGATAAAACCAAATACCTACAGATAAAGTAATATAATTTATATGAATTATGATGAATATATATATGACCGCGGGGACTTGGTCAAAACATTATACTAGTAGTATTTTTAATATGAAAAAGACAAGGGTACTAGGATGTTTTTGTTTACGTACTAGTAATTTTTTAGATATAGTGGGAAGGAAAATAATGTAGGGAGTAATAGATATTGAGATTATTTTTTGATAACTTAATTTTTTCATTCTAATATGTTTTTATTATGCTTTTAATAATATGTTTGAGTGAAATTAAACTTCTCATTCACTAAATTAATACTATGTTTTACTGAATTATATTGTTCCTTATTAGCACTATAAATTAATTAATTTAAAATTGTTACCCTAAAATAAGAGAAATGATTCAATGGATGGGTGTTCATCCAAAGTTACGTCACTGGGCGAAGACCCAACCTATACGGGTCTTCTTAATTACAGATGAATGGGCGAAGACCCATCTCGATCTTCGTCAACTCACTACACAACGAATTGAAGCCCAATGGATATGAGTTGACAACTAGCTTGACGGAGAAGTCATGTCACAAATAAATATATGAATTCACGTCTAAATCAATAACTAATCGCTATACCGTATGTTTCACGGCAAATTATACCTTGCACCAGGGCGTACAATGGATATGGGTGTTCATCCAAAATTGCATTGTGCACTCTGTTCCAAAACGATCTCGTTTTGTACTCTTTTCGCGTGTCTACTGTTAACTCTTTAAAAAAAATTTCATGTTTCAAATATACAGAATTGTATAATAGAAAACACATAATTTTATACTTGAAAACACATACTTTTATACCTGAAAACATAAAATTTTTATAACTGAAAATCTCCATATTTCGAATGTACAAAATTATATAATATAAAACACATAATTTTATACCTAAAAATACAGAATTTTATAACTGAAAATTCCCATGTTTTGGATGTATATAATTATATGATAGAAAACACAAAATTTTATACCTGATAACACAATTTTTTTTAAAAGGATAAAAATCCCCTGTTCCGAATGTACAGAATTTTATACCTAAAAACACAAATTTTTATACATGAAAATACAGAATTTTATAACTGAATACACATACATTTCCATTGAGTTAATTCCCCACACAACTTAACAAAACGACGTCATTTTAGGAGGCGCGGGGCGCACATTGCTATGTGCGCCCTGATGCACGGTATAACGATTGATGTTTCATGAGATAAGGTAAATTATTGATATATACTATTGATATAACCAAAATAATAAATTGAACTAGTCTACTCCTACTCTAATACATGCATGGCTTCTTGTGGTGGTAGATTTTAATATATAGATTTATTTATATATATATATATTACACGTTTATTTTTAGTGTATTACACACACACACACACACACACACATATATATATATTTGCGTTCAAATGCAAGTCAACCTTTCTATGCGAACGTGTGAATTTTTAAAGGTATGCACAGTAAATCCTATATAAGTGCACAACACCATAAGTATTACATGAATGCATAGCAACACAATGCATTCATGTGATATTTACCGTACATTTCTTCAGTTCTAGATTCGCATGTAAAAGGTGATTTGCACCTGAATATTGCCCTATAATTTTATTCCATATACGCACAACTTCACTTATTAGTACACTGTATCTCTCACACGCTATAATGCTATATTAGTTGGGCACGGAATTGTTTCGAGTTGTAACGTACCTCAAAAGAAGCAAAAGAAAAGAAAAGAAAATGATGTTAGTGGAACAATTTTAATTCCATTTATTTACTTATTACAGTATTATTTTTTTTTATTCTGACTTCTTTCATTTTCTCTTCCACAGCTTTTTCTTTCTTTATCTATTTAAAGTATTAAACATCCACGTCCTGCCCAACACACTAAAGTCATTAAAGCAACAGTCATATAAATGATATAAAGTAACAATAATCTTCTTTTTTTTTAGCAACACATATAAAAGCAACCATAAGAAATAAAATATTGAAAAAAAAAATCCCGAAACAAAAAAATTCATCTACCTAACATATATTATGTATGCAACATTGATTGGATATTGAAACATCCCCAGTTGCACAACATGAAAATTTGTAGACAAAATTATCAAAAATTGAAACAAGCTAGCTTGGGGGGTATTGGGTAGAGGCTAGTAGATCTGGTGTCTTCTGTCGTGAAGTCTTCTCCACCTGTATGTTTATAATTATATCAACACATATATCATTGGTAAGCCTAATTATATGATAATTATAGCACTACATTTTATTATAAATTAATACATACATACATACATATACAAGGTTGCTTCTATTGAGGACCGATAATCTAACTTCATAACAGCTTAAATGTAACAAAACAACACAGGTCATCATTTCATCTTAAACATGGTATCGATTTCTCACATATAAACATGTTGAGGGTTTTGAATTTGAAATGAATATCTTTGTGGTACAAATTAAAGTGACAAGTACCAACTATGAGAATATACATGCATAATGACTTTAAAGTCCATCTTTGTTAAAGCTTGAGGTCCCATTGTCCCAAAACTCACATAGAAGAGATAAACTGCATGAATCATGCTCCATCAACTGAACCACTTTTCGAAATAATTACATCCTACTTATAGACTAATTAACATGATATATATATACATTCTTATTTTATTATTAAAAATGGATGGATATTTATTTGAAAGAGAGAGAGAGAGGGGGGATGGGGATACAAGATTATATAGCTAGCTTAGGTGAATAATTACCAATAGAAATCCCATCTGGGACGGAGTTTATACATCTGATTTTGGCCGTAATGGTAGCCGCCGGTTTCCGCCATCTTGGCGTTCTCGAAGGCGCAGCAGCCGACAGTGTAGATGGCGATCAGGACAACCACCATCACAATGTTAAGAACCGATATCTTTTGCCAGTCCCTCCGCATATCTTCAAGCACCGCCGCTTTGCAGGAATCGCAGTCGTAGCACAGCCGCGTCGCCTCGTTGTTCCACCGCGAGCAATCCGGGTCCTGCGATTCCAACGTTGCTCCATAGTCGCACGATGTCGGCGGCTTGCAGCACCCTGACTGCAACATTTTTCATTTTTCTAATTTTTTAAGTAAACATAATCAACCAGTTCAAACTAAGAAGGTAAATAAAACTTGTAACTTTATGGTTATCAAATTAACAGTCTGACAAACTTAGCTGGAGATTTACCTGAAGAGGGGACATGTTTTTGGTTTGATAATCGATGGGAGTCCAGGAAACAATGGCGGCGCAAGTCTTAGAACCCAAAATGCAAGCTCGGATAGGCATCCAGTAGTGAGGGTCGGAGATCCGATTCTTCAGCCAGGGCGAATAGTTCTCCAGGTGGTACTCCTTGTACACCTTGCCGGGAACCTCCGCGACACCGCCGTGGCTGGTGACGACGAACCCGAAAATGGTGATGCCCATAAGAGCGGCGATGAGGAACAGCATGACGAGAAGGTAGAACCAGAGCGCCCACGTAACACGAAAACACGCCCCGATGAATCCGGCGAGCGACACGATTAGGATGACGAATCCGATGACGAGAAGCGGCGTCTGGAGGAACTTCTCGCAGGTGGTGCTGCTCCTCGCCATCCATAGCCCGGCGCCGATGATCGGAATGGAGGCTAGCAGCGTGAGGAGGTTCAAGAAACCTATCACCGTGTTGCTAACGCTACTATACATTCGATCTATCGATCTTTTTCCTTGTCTATACGATGTTTTACGTACTATATATGTCTGATGATCTTCTGATTCGTCGGATGTAGATATATATATAACGTTGTGGTGCTTCTTTTGCTACTGTGATGTCTTCATCAGTTTATTCTACAGCTCTTTCTGGGGATTGGGGTGAGAGAATACATGGTGGACACTGGACTGAAATTATATTGGAAACTTTATACATAGCATGTGAATATATATAGTGTTATATATATATATATAGAGAGAGAGAGAGAAAGAGTGTGGGGCTAGCTAGGTGAATGTTCAAATTGCACTTCTTAGCAATTAAGTAAACTATCTCTCCTTTCAAAAAAAAAAAAAAGTAAACTTCTTCTCGAATTTTACAATGACAACTATGCCATCGTTCAATTATGTTTTTTCTATCTGACAGGGGATCGAGTCTTACCAACGATAGTGTGAGAGCAACCTCTTAAAATAAAGGGTGCTCCTAAGTCTAACCTCTGTGGTTTATGTTCAGTTGAGTTACCATGATTTACATCTTTCCAGATATTCTATCGGACCGGAGTGTGAGAGACCTTTAAGGTGGGAGTTCAACCTTTGAATTATGTTATTTTCTCATTTCTATTATTTTTGACGGGTGAGAGAAATCAACAATTACTGTTTGAAGATGTGCACGTTTGCATTGTAATTCTAATTAGTTAAGAACGAAGCAAATTAATTTAAGTTGTATCGACTCAAACTAAAACTGCTAATAGACCGTTCCTACCTACTTGTAAATTGTAATCATAGGTTCCAAGTAGTTGCAGTCAAGAAAAGAAGCAGGGACAATCTAGTCAAGGCATAAAAATGTCTCTTTAATTAATTTACTCATGGAGCCCCCCATTCTTGCTTCCTTCAAAAGCAATAGCAATTGTGAAAAAGAAAACAAAAATCCAAAACTAGTGACTGTGAGTGGAGAATATTTAATGTACCAAAATGTTATCAATTAGATTTTTGTTAACACAATCTCAATAAATTTGTCACATTATATCTTTTTAGTGCAATCTATTTTTTCATGTGTAGTTTATGAATTATTATAAGAAAAATATGAATAGAATTTGACCCTTTTACATTCTCAAATAATATTTACACTTTCCCTCCAAACGAAAAAAAAAAAAGAATTAAGTTTACATACTACAAATATATATAATATTTTTTGGTTGGTCTTATCTTTTTGATCTTCCATTCTTTTGTGCATTAATCAGATTGTTGATTCTCTTTTCGGCTCCACTAGCTAGTTTCCCAGTTCCAAAAGTTCAAATTAAAATAATCCTCTTAATACAAAAGTTCCCCCATTGCAGCCTTGACATACATTCACCATATTAAGAAAACGGAGTTCCTGCCCACATGTGCTTAACTCAATGGTTAAGTGGGTAATATTTGAGAGAAGAGATCAAACTAGGTTCGAACTTCGGCGGCGGCAGTCTGTGTGAATTATGTTCAAAGTGGACAAATTATATGTGCGCATCGACATTTGGCCCTGTCCGCTGAACCATTAAGTCACCGTAATTTACATCTTCCCAAATATGAGAAAACACAACATTAGACAAGAATTGCATTCAATGTGATAGACTCTTTATGAGTACCATGCATTAGTCATCCACCTAAGAAGCAGTTACTAAATTACCCTAATTTATCATTACACATATTTCTTATGGTCAAGTTGTGAAATCTTTAGAGTAAGAAATTTCGACAATAAAAAATAAGATAAAACACACTATCTAAAAAAAAAAAAAAACTTTAACAACATTACCACTTTATTGGGATTCGGGAGTCAGCAATCACTTTACAAATTACAAATCCTATTATGAAAATTACAACACAATAATTGCAATTTAAATAAGAAAAATGAAAGATTAAATTAAGTGGGGGATGCTGGTAAAGATTGATTATTCAAGAAGTGTGTGAAAAGGATGAATGCAAGGCGTGGGCGGGTGAGGGGAACCTCGTGCCCAGCCCCCCTCACCGTTACATATCTCATGCCTCTATATACTTGGCTCCACCCACCAACCTATATATGTATCAATCACAACCATTTAAAAAAAACATCAAAAATTAATCACGAATTATATATAGAAAAATACAAAAAACCTCTCTTATCTGAGAATAAAACCTATAAATCTAATCTAATAAAAACTAATAAGTGTGAAGGAATGTTATACTCTTCATTTATTTCTGTTTTTTTTTTTTTATTTTTTACATTGTGTTATAAGAGTTATACTATACAATCTTTTGATCAAAATACCCCTATCGTTATAACTTTTATTATCTTTTTCAAATATTGTTACCATAAGCATGCATCCATGTTATATTTTCTTATCTTCTTCAATGATAATAATATATAGAGACATTATATATTGAATTACTATATAAGTTATTTCTTAAAATGTAAATATCAATTTTTTATAAAAATGGTTTACATTATTATTATTATACAATAATGTAAATATCTAAAATTGAAATAAATTTAAGATTTTAATATATATTATTAATATTGGACATCTATTTTTTCAACATCACGCATAAAAAATACTAATAATAAAATAAGTCCGATCGATATTGAGCAATATAATGAAGACGGACCTGTTGGTTGTCATACCAAGCGTGCCAATCGGAAAGAGTTTGGAGACGAAGAGCTCTAATGGAGTATCGAGTGGCCGTCAGAGGCAAAACAGCATCAGTGTCACCACTGTTTTCAATTTTAAATAATTAAATAAAATATTATGTAAAAATATTATAAGCATGAAATTGTAGATAAAATTTTAAAAACAAAACAAAACAAAAAAAGACGAAATCAATTAGGACCTGAATACCCATATTCGGATGCCAGCTTGAATGAGTTCTTTGAAGATGGGAAGCATGGATCGAGGCGAATCCATCCAACTGCCTCTTATAACATCACTATATAGTATATATATACACACATCAATTTATTCAGAGTATTATTATGAATATTTTTATTAGACGTAATTACACTGCTCAAAAAACTTTTTTTTTTTCTTTTTACATGTTTTTCGACTAATTAAACACATATGCACGAATTAACGAACCTGCAAGTTGTCCAAGGTTGAGGAATGGCAGCAACGTTTGCATGAAGTGCCTTTTGGACCGCCGGACGATTCATGTACATTTTTGTGTACTTCACAATGCATTCATCATTCCCTCTAAACGTCCATGGCTAAATATATAATAATCCCAAAAACTATAATAATAAATCAAGATAATTAAAGAATTGTAATAATATAATGCTAATAAAGTGAGATTAGTGTGTTACCAAAGGTGTGTTTAAAGTGTGACGAGGAAGTGTTCCGAGGGCGTCGCAGGGAGTACTATAAATGCCATAGGGATTAATGTTTCCAAATTGGGTATATGCACCAAAGAGAGCATCGTAACAGCCTTTACTAGGGAATAAGAATGAATCATTGGAACAATAATTGTTGAGTGCATTGTAGGTTGAATCTGATATCAAACCATGGTTCCACCAGTACTCAAATGTTCCAACGTTGTCATGGTAATCATCAATCAATGGATTACCTAACTGTTCAAACAAATAAAGGTTATATATATATATATATATATATATATATATATATATATATATATATATAGTTTGTATATATGGTTCACCATTGTCGTAATTTCTAACTACTGTAATGACGTTGTTGAAACTTTTCAAAATTTTAAAAATTATATATGCATCCGGTCTCACTTACCAGAAAACCTTTGAAGTTTATTATAGGATTTTTAATGCCCTTATTCCGTCGAACAATGATTCTTGATAGCTGAGGGATGTAATGACCTAGAGGAATACATTACATTAAAAAAATATTTAAAAAATTAAATGTGGGATTTTAATAAAAATAATAATGAATATGAATAGATAAATATAATATAGAAAAATTTTACAATGTCATAAATATATTACACCACTAGAAACGGTCAATAACTTTTTTATAAATAAAACAATAATTATTTACAGAAATATCCAACAATTTAGATAAAACAACCTGCATAACTCTCTCCGGCTATGTAGAATGGCCTTTGATTGTATTGAGGAAACCTTGCAAACCATCTTTTAAGGAAAATGTACGCATCTTTAACTGCATATATTAGCATCAATATTAGCACACTTTCAAATAATCATGACAGACTTTTCGTGAACCAAAACAATCTTATATATACAATTCCCAAAGGTACCTGAAAATGAGATAAACAATATATGAATCGAATATTATAGTGGGAAAGTCAACTTAACAGAGAGATGAGACTATGAGAGAGACCTGTTCTTTGATCCCCAGTAATCAGATCCGATGAAGTATTTGAGTAGGAGAAGCCAACCCCCGCCGGAGAATCAAGAAACAGCAAATTCGCCTCTGCCCGCATTTATATATATAAACAAGTTTTAAGTTTTCCATTAGTACCTTTTCAGTTATGAAAATTATAACCATTCATCTACCAAGTTTTAAGTTATACGAATTTCTTGTGATTTATGAGAGTTACCTTTGTTCCAAGCATAGGGGCTTAAGGTTAGTGTCTGGCCATCGGGAAGGACCCTAAACGGGCCCACCTCCTCGGAAGCTCCATAGGCCACGGAGGAGCAACCGGGGCCACCATTGAGCCATAAAACAAGAGGTTTTGACCCGTTGGCCGGAGATTCAATCAACCAGTAGAATAAAGCCCTTCCGGCCTCGGCGTCCACCGTGACATATCCTGAGTACTGAGAGAAGGTAACATTTTCCGGCTGTCCCGGCAGCCTGCTGATCCTATCTCTCTCTCTCCCGGCGGCGAAGTTGGCGCCGGAAGATAGCAATATTGCGATGAAGCAGAAAACATATGATTGCCTCCCTTTCTGCATTTTGATCACCATGATCAACTGCTGCGCTAGCTGCTAAATTGAGTTCTTCATCACCACTTTTCTAGTGTTATATGAAAGCTAAGGTTGCTTCGAGTTGAGTATGATCTAAGGAATCCTCTAATATGAGCTGTATCATCATCAAGATCGAGTTATACTTTTATATATTCAAGATCTGCAACCCTGCTTCGATGTTGTTAATAATGATATGATTGATTAAATATATGTTGTACCTCATAATTCGAGTGTAAAACTGTCATTTTAAAGAATATCTTCAATTTTCACAAAAATCAACAACAGCTACCCATAGCTGACTGACACCGACTCAAACAAAAAAGTCAATACTATCAACCCCTCGAGTTTTAGAGTCCTTAACAAGAATTTGCATGAAGTAAATGACTCAGCATTACATATAATTATAGCTCACATGGGCAGCTCAATTGATCACAAGAATGAAATTAAAACAATAACTGAGAATCGAGTCCTCCCTCACCAGTGTTCAACTGAGTTACCATGATTTACATCCTCCCAGATGTGCACACACACAAGAGAGAGAAAATACTATACAACAGGAATTCATTGTAAATTTCTCAAGATTCTACAAAGAAATGTGACCTTTTATTCTGTTATTTATTCCATCATGTTCTGGTTATTTAGCACAGTATTGAAAGAAACTGGACAATGAAGAACAAACAGCAACCTGGCTGAGGCAAAGATCATGAATTAGATGCCTAGGATTAGCTTAGTACACTTGCTGGGGAAGAGGTTCCTCCAGCCTGCTGGCTCCAATCAACAGTCTCACCACAATGTCCTCTAACAATTGCTACTTGACTGGGTTCATGATTTGGAGTTCCAGAAAGAATCGATTTTCGACTGGGAATTGCTGCTTGACTGAGCGATACATCTGCCGAACTTTTGGTAAGATCCTCGTTTTTAGTAACAAGTGCTTTCAGTCGATATCGTTCTGCCCTTGAGCCAATTATCTGTCCTAGAATTGATGCTGCAATGGTGAATGCCATGGCTGTCTTAGGCATCAAGACTGACTTCCTGAGCATGCCTATAAACGGTACCGCTGCGTGGACAGCTGCAAACCAGGAAGGTGAGAACTTTTCTGTGTGTTCTCTCCATATTCCTAGAGGAATATTTGCTGCCATGCCCATGACACCAATTACTAATACCTTCATAGGGAGGGGCTGTGGCCTCAGGTTCTTTGCAAATGCTGTTCGTGATATTGCAGCCCTGGCTGCAACTATAGCAGGGGGACACCTTAGATGCACGCCAGGAGGGGGCTGAATGGCCTTTGCCACAAGTGGAAGGACCTTACTCATGGCACGGTATGACTTGGCAATTGGACAACTCCCACTTTGTAACCACTCATTGCTTAGCGCCTCATGCTTTGAGTTTCCCCCCTGAAAGGTCAAAAGGAGAAGTGTGAACATTGATTACGCTTTTCCAAATTTATATCCTAAATAAATACTACTAAAAATTTAATTTCACGACACATAAGGAAAACAAAATATTCAAAAAGAGCTATCCATACTCCTGAATTAGGAACAATGATATATACAATTAAGCCTAGTTGAACATTTCTCATAAGAGAAATTCATAATCTAAATTTTATGATCCAAGCTTGTATGATGCAGCACGAAGCCTTCAAAATCCAGATATGAGTTTCTTTATAGCTAAGTGAAGTTCCAAGATCTGTAATGAAGAATAATACATACTACAGAAGTACAGAGCATATCTGGCCATCAATTCGTAACCTCAATTACATAAAGTGCTTCTCAACTTCATATGCACAAATAACAACCAAAAAATTGAAACAGAATTTTATATCATGTACCTGTGAAGAACTTTTTCCATCTGATTTAGAATTTTTTTTGTTCTTCCCTTTACTAGAGAAATCGCCAAAGGACGGCCACCCAGGTCCAAAAGCTGACAGGCTTATTGTAGCTGCCTTCGCTGCCAAAGGATTAAACTGGGTTGGTGGTGGTTCGGGCTCTGTCTTTTCATTCTTCATGAATGATCTTCCCGAGAGTGGGACCACACCATCCTTTCCATGGAAAAGTCTGAATGCCATATTAAAATTGGGTCCATCCTCAAAGATTGGACCTTTTCCTCCCCGGACCTGATTAGTAAACAAAAATAAGGATGAGAAACAATCTCTAGACAGCATAGTGAAGACAATGCAAAACCCAAGGAGCTTACAGGCATTGGAAAACCCAAGGAGCTTGAGAAGGAAAAATTGGTAGGTTCATTGATGTTGCGCAAAAATGGGCACTTGATAATGTCTTGCTGGAAAGGTGAAGAATCTTCATTTAAGCTTCTAAAGAAAGCATCCATTTTTTTTCAAAGATGGATCACCTATACAAGATGGAAATTATGAGCAACAAACGCATCATAATTGCACATTTGGAAATAACAACACAAAATAGGAAATAAAGAGAAATTTAGACCTGAAAAACCAGCTAGCTTGAACTCAAAGTGATTAAAAACAATCATGGAACATGTAGAAGCAGCTAAACATTTGTTATTTATCTAATCATATGAAGCAACACGGAGAAATCTAACATTGACCTATGTAAAAATACTATTTAACACAAAAAGAGACAAGACAGATACAAATCATAGTAATCTTTATTAATTCACTATATTTACTGGTTGTTAGATTGAGATTTGGGAAATTCAGTCTGACACACAACAAAAAACTTAACTCAGTAGATGCTTATGCTGAAACTTAGAGAAGATTATTCCAAGAAGCAGTTGACCTAAAGAAACAAACCCTTTTAATTGTAATTACTATTCCAAAAAAATTTCCCATATATGTAGCATATGATAACCATTCAACAATTCAACCCCAGTTCTTTATTCAAAAACCAGCAGTTCAACTCACAAATCATCTGATCATCTTTTCCTCCGACAACTCAATCTACAATCTACATCCAAATCAATTCCAATTTATTTATAAAAAAAAAAATGCAAAAAGAAGACGACAGCAGCAAATCAGCACAGAAAAGCTACAACTTGTGGAAAACGACTTTATAGGTCATTCCGGAACTTTAAGAGATCCAATCTTCGATAAATATCAGAAAATTCACATTTCTTTTGCCGACAAACCACCAGTGTACCACGAAATCAGCAAATAAAATCAAAAGAACCACACCCATTAGCTAAAAAATCAACAATCAATGAAGCAAAGCGAGGAACAAAGAAAAAGAAAAGTAGCAGCAAAAAATGATAAAATCGGAGAATTTGATTATACCTTAGGAGGAGTATCAAGAGCCAGGGATGAAACGAAGCCGAGAGAGAGAGAGCAGATGGGGAAGGGGTAGGCCGACGACGGAGGAGAGAGACACAAAAAAGGCGTGGAGAGCACAGGCCTATTATATCACCACACGCCGCCTGGACTGCTTGTGCTCGTCACTCTACCTAATTAATTTTCCTCCAAATTAGGAATAATAAATATTACGGAGCCCTTAGGGTTGGAATTCAACCTTTTGGAAGAATAAATATTACGGAGTAATACCATTTAAATTTTGTTCTTTTTTTTTTTAAATATGTTATTCGGACCAAATATTTTACTCCATCATATTATTTTATGTGTTTGATTCGGTTAACGAAGCTGGGACTAAAGTTATTTTTAATTAAATTTTTCATAATATTAAGTTTAATATTAATATGCAAAATTTATATATTTAAAAATTATACTAAAAGTACTATTAAACACAAAAAAAAATAATAATAATAATAATAAATTTAAAAACAAGTAAAAAATAATAAAGAAAATAAACAAAGAAGGAAGAATTGATTTGACCAATAGATAGAACAAGTAAAATGGGACAAGAGAGTATCAATATATATGTCATGACATGTAAAATAAACATGTTATTCTCAGTGCATAATTTTCATTCTAATCTAAAAATTAAATTGAATTAATTTTCATTTGCAAGGTTTTTGAAATGTTATTAATCATCAAGGTATCTTGGACTTTAAAAATTTTTCATTAATATTCTTCTAGTAATTTACCTCTTTCACTCGTTTTCTGAATAAGAAGTAAGAACGGTGAGGCTGAAGTATGAATTTCAGCATATACTCCAAGCAAATAAGTTAGAAATACCATTCATCTAAGGTTTTGCCAAACAGAGCAAACATATAAAAGAATCTTGAAAATCATAAGAAACATTGGTGTACAAATTAGCTGATAGTGAACACCCCCACCCCACCCCCAAGAAACACTTGGGTTAATTGCAAAGATATTTAGAGCAATACAAATCAATAATACTATTCAAGCTTGAGGTGGATCCAAGTTTCTACTTGCAGCTGGTTTTGCCTTCAGCTCTGCTTGAAGAGACCTGCACAACGACTCCAGTCTCTCCTTCTGGTTCCTCGTTTTCTCCAGTTGCATCTTCAAGTGTTCGCGCTGCCCAGAATGAACAATTTAGAAGTGCATCTAAATGACATTTCGCACATGATCAAAGACAAAAGGCATGTTGTTTGGAGAAAAATCGACAACACTAAATAATTTTTGGCACGATAAAATCTAAGTGAAACAATACTAATGATGACCAGGGAACTGAATCTAAATATGGTGGTTCTCTCCCCATATCGACAACAAATAGTACTAATACTACTTGTGTTTTGATGGCAATTCGAGAATGAGAATTTGTGCAGCCACATCACTTGCAGAATATACGTGAATAATGTAGTAAAAAAAGGAGTGAAATAGTGAATGGTGTATATTGTCTTTTCTGCAACAAGTAAACAAATGAAGAACTATTAGAGGCTGTCTGTAGCACAAATATTACCTCTTCAACCAACTCTATTAGAGTCATATCTGATTTATCGCATTTGCTCTTCAAGAAAGTATTCTCCTTTTTGAGTTCTTTTAAGGATTTCCCCATCTGCATTTATGGAAATGAAATCAGGATTTAATTGGAAAGGACTGCAATTCAACCACCATGTTAGAGGAGAAGGGAAGTAGGGTGGGCGTTGCCTTTTCAATTTCTTGCTTAAATGTTTCAAATACTTCATTGCTCTTCAGCAGTGCCTCCTGAGAAAATATATTAACATCAGGAGAATCAAATATGATATAGCAGAAATATCCTATGAAGTTACTTCACAGTTCTGATGATGTGGTGACAATAATACAAGTCTGCCAGACTAACCTGGAATTGCTGGAACTTCTCTCCATCAGCTGTCAATTGTAACCGCAAACTTTTTTCAGTTGTCAATAACTGGGAAACCTGTTCTGCATACAATTTCATCTGGGACTGTCCCTGCACTAATTTTTCTTCATGTTGCTTAATTTTCAATTCAGCTATCTGAAGTTCAAGATCCTTTTGCTTTAACTGCATGAAGTTTAGATATAAGTAAAGCCCAAGCCTAGATAATAAACGTTTGAATTATTCTCAAAAGCTTAAAGGAATACATGTAAGTACAAGTTACCTTTTGAGCATATTGTTGCTCGGTAAGAGCATATTGATCGACGACTTGTTTCAGCTTGATCTTTAACCTGCAGTTGATTTACAGAGGACATAGAAATCAATGTTTCTGGATTGCAGCTTAGATACAGTCATACCAACAAAAAAAAAAAAAAACAAACAAAAAAAAAAAAAACAACTTAGATGGAAATTAGCCAAACCCGGCATTTTCATTGTCTTACATCTCGTTTTCCTTGAGCTGTGACAGGCATTCATCCTTTTGTTCTTCCAGCTTGTTGCTCACTTCCTAAAAGGAAACACAAGGTAAACATTCAGGGTCCACACTGATAGACAAAAATGTGGAAACTGAAAATGTAATTTCGTAAATTGCTATGAAGTGTAGACATAGCCGTTTAAAAATGAAACATAAATTCACCATAAATGTAACTCATAGAAATCACCATCAACAATTTTCAGGCTAGGAGAGTAGGAGTCCTATTAAGTATACTATGGGGTTCAGTTAGATTAAAAGAGCATGTCCATTTCATCATGCATTCAAGGAATCAAGAAAGCAAACAGCTGAAGCATGAATGAGCCTATGCATGAATATTCTGCTACAAGTTTAGCACGAAGTTTCCCATAACATGCAATGTATGAATACTTTGGGGTTTGGAAAGTAAATTTTTCAATAACTAGAAGATTTGACATGAGCCTCTATCGAACACAGGGCGCTGTCTAACAACTGGTTTACTCTAAACAATTAATGCAACCAAATATGTGAGGAATAAGATTTTTTCACAAGGTCATGCTCAAACTAAGATGAGAACTATTCAGACCTTGATGGCTTCCTGAAATCTGTTTGATAGATCCAATCTCAAGTTTTGACCCTCTGTTGACACTTTTTTGCATTCATCCTGTAAAATAATAGCAAAGACAATCTTAAGGACTAGTATTTGAAGGAAGCATGCCTATCAACCATGAGTAGAATTTTTAAGAAGGGTGAGAGAAGAGAGGGAGAGAGAACGAGAATAAATTGCAATGTCCTAAATCCAAGCTTTTGTCTCCTGGCAGTAGAATGCTTTGCCAGTTCCAAATTAAAGAGAGAAGATAAAGTAAACATTATTCTAACCATCAAAATTTTGTTTTGCCGCTGTAACTCCCGGCACAGTGACTCTAGTTTATCCCGAACAGCAATAGCTGAAACAAGACAAGACAATTTTCAACAAGATAGCCATTGTGACTTTTGGAAGTCTTCCTTTTTATTAGAATACATAACTAATCATAACGAGAAGAAAATTCAAGAATATCATCAAATGTGAATAAGAGAAAAAAAACCACTCGACTCTGGAGCCTAGTCATAATGCAGCTGCCTAGACTGCCCTAATTTGATATCAGAAATTAAACCAGAGGCAAAAGAACTAATAGAAATCAAGCATCAATTGTTCATCAACAAGTACATTATAAAATGTGTGATAAAAAGCCACCTGAATCTCTTTCAGCAAGAACTTGTTGATACTTTAGTGTGAACTCCAAAAACTCCTTCTCAGATTTAAATGTACGTTTTACATTCTTCCGTTTTACATCAGAGGCTTCCTAAAACATAAAATATGAAAATGTTAAAAAGAAATATCACATTTTCAGATAATATTATATTCAAATGCTTGAAATCATAGCTTCATGCATGAAGAGAAACACAAAAGGAAAAGAAAGTGAAACAAAAAAAAGTTGTACTAGCTCTTCAAAGTCAGAATAACTTATAACGAAAATGTAAGGAAAATAATATTACTATCCACCACTAACTGTTTTCCTGTTCTCTGAACTATCGAGTGATGGCGCCTCATTAGTGGTCAGTGTCTGTTGATCTGAGCCTTCTACAGTTGCTGCAAAAAAAAAAAAAAAAAAAAAAAAAAAAAAAGAACAATAGAAATTAAGAGAGGATGAATCAACAGGTAAATAGGGTGGGAAAGAAGGTGATTTGGATGGGGAAAACAATTTGATAAAAGAAAGGATACAGAAGGGTAGTTAAGACTTGAAAAGTTCCCCTCCTACAACTTGCAAATTCCTCCATTTTAAAATCTTACCAAATAAGGAAGAAAATGCAAATTCTTAAAGAAGAACGAAGCAAAAATATGATTCAAATCTATCCAAGAGCTAATGGCAACAAGGAAGAATCAGTGTAAGCTCACAGGTGAAGGGTTACTTACAATTTTCCAAGCTCAAGCTCTGTACTTTAGCTTGTTCCTCCTCCGCCGCCGTTTCTCGGCAGCCACTTACTGCAGGGAGGGCAAAATGGTTATCATTTACGATGAGCACGGGCCTCACCTCAGGCTCCTCTAATTTATCCTCCGGGGCGAGTGGCTTTTCCTGGTCGGGGGTGGGTGTTTCCGGCGCCAACGAGTCAGCGCCGGAGCTATCCACGAAGCCGTCGGGTAATGAATCCGCCTCCGGCAGCTGATTTGCAGCTGGATTCAGTTTTGCGTCCTCATTCTCCATCTCGCCTACACTCACTCCAAGACGAAAGGGGAAAACCACCAAAACTCCACGTTTTTTCAGTAAAGAACCCTAGGCCCTAGCTAGCTAAGCTCTGCGCTCGGACTTCAGATCATCTGTAAAGAAAAGTAGTGTCGCGGAAACCGATTGCACTCGATCTGTACAACAAGGCTCGTCGAGCTTGTCGAATAACTTAAAGGTTTAAAACCTAAAAAATTTGCAGAACTTTTGGGGCATTCCGAGAATTGAACTCGGGACCTCTCGCACCCTAAGCGAGAATCATACCACTAGACCAAATGCCCTGTTAGTTCTGTCACGCAATATTAAATTATACAATGCTTGTCGAGCTTGTCGAATAACTTAAAAGTTTAAACCTAAAATATTTGGACAACTTTTGGGGCATTCCGAGAATTGAACTCGGGACCTCTCGCACCCTAAGCGAGAATCATACCACTAGACCAAATGCCCTGTTGGTTCTGTCACGGAATAAAAATCTTTATCATCTTTTAACAGTTACTCTTCAACTCCACGCTATGATTCCTATAAAGTTGGGAAAGATGAAGAAGATGCTCAAAGTACTTACGAGATACCTGTACTATCACATTTTTTCAATTTAGTACTTGTATCTTTATTTTGTTCAATTTAGTCCCTTGTACTTTAAAAAGTGATGCAATTAAGGATAATAGTTAACAGTGTTAATGTTATCGTTAACTTAGATTACGTGGCGTTGCCGATATTTATAATCCTACTCATATATTACTCTATAAATATTTAAAATTAATTATTTTTCCCACCAATATATTCAATTATTATGTCCAAAATAAATAATTATAACCATGTTCCTAATGAGATTTTGACAACTGTCCTTAGTTTTATCACTTTTTAAAGTAGAGGGACTACATTGAACATAATAAAGGTACAAGGACTAAATTAAACACTATAATACAGGGACTTCATAGGTACTTTGACCTAAAGAAGATAGAGCCTCGAAGTAAAGTATGATCAGTTGAATCCATTGTTCAATACAGGGACTAAATTAAACAAAACAGTATAATACAGGGACTTCATAGGTACTTTGACTTGAAGAAGATAGAGCCTCGATGTAGAGTATGATCAGTTGAATCCATTGTTTTGAGTCATCTAGAATATGCTTTGGTAATAAAATAAAAGAAATGAATGGAAAAAATTAGTACCCAGTATAATTTTTATTTAATTATTTTTTGTTTTGAGTGAAAAGATAAATTATGCACAAATTAAAGACATGTATTAGATAATTAGTTTTTTACGCGCATTGCGCGATTGGGATAATGCCTAATGTTTTTTTTTTAAATAAGTACTTTAAAGTATATCAAGTCAATATTATATTGGAATTGTTCATGCATAGATAATTGAATGTTAAATTTGTGTATTTGAATAGGCAATTCTAAATTTACAAATGCAAGATAATATAGTCAAGATTGATTATAATTGTCAATGAAATAATTCTATAGGTATGGTTGAAACCAAATACGGGACATAAGGAGAGAAAATAAAAATTAGTGCATAAAATATTAAATATATACTAATATTGAAGAGCTAACTCCTGATTGTCAAACAAGGACATTGCGAGATAGTTTCCACTTCAATTTGTTGTGTGATTTGAATACTCTTTTTGTCAATAAATCTCCAAAGTAGTTAATATGATTGGTTTAATTATATTTTTTTATTTCTTTACTTTTTTAAAACAATTATTATTATTATTATTATTATTATTATTATTATTATTATTATTATTATATTTATTTTTTCATCGTATTAATAAAATACTTGGTAAATAAATATATATCACTATTTTGTATTATAACTTTGATATTTAATTAAAAAATAGTGCACAAAAAAGGTAATAGACAATGTAGTGAATATAATCAATTGTTGAATTTGTACATTGGAGAAATATAAAGACAATATAACTAATAAAATTATTTCTCTTAACTAATTTATTGATAATGATTATTTTTTTTTAATAAAGACATTTTAGGGACAATGTAGCGAATATAATCAATTGATGAATTTGAATGTAAAGAATTTTTATATTGAAGAAAAATAAATACAATATAACTAATGGAATTATTTTTCTTATTTAATTTATTGATAATGAATAATTTTTTTGAATAAAGACATTGTAGACACATAATTCTAAATTAAAGAAATGCATATGTATTATTTTTTGTTGTAGCTACTAAATTATTATTTAATTTAATAAGAGTAAAATAGAGTACTAATTATGCCAACTTTGATTGGGATGGGGTTCGAACCTAAGACCTTTCTTATCGAATTCAATGAGTAAGTTAACGGCGAACTAACAGAAATTAACGGAAAAGATAATATTTAACGGAAAAGTTAACGGAAAATCATATTCATTAAGGATAAATTAGGAAATCTTAAGAAAAAATTAAAATCTGATCAATCTGAGCCATTCATTTGATTAAAAAATTTGACCGCCATTTTTTCTACCCATTATAGGCCTAACTCTCTTGGCCTCTTATTAGTATATATATATATATAATAATATATATATATATATATATATATATATATATATATATATATATATATATATATAGTAGATACAATCAGTAGCAAAAAAATAAAAAATAAAAAAATAAAATAAAGACATGTACTAGATAAACGTGTTTTTTGGTGACTCTAGTCCTTGAAAGATTGATAACTAGCCTACCCTAGCTAGCTATTATATCTATAATACAGGAAATTTCAATTTTGGTCATATGATTATAGATTTATAGGGGTCTTGTTAATTTTAGTCCCTAACTTTTAAAAGTGTCAATTTAGTACCTTAACTATGTAATTTTTTGTCAATTTTGGTCACTCTGGCCAAATTGTCGACTAAATTTCGCCGAAAAATTTTAATGATTAAAATAATAATGATATTTTGGTCGTTTCACGCTTCTTTTCTTCTTCTCCGGCGAGTACATCCCTTTCTCTCCCATTTTCGGCGGTCTTTCTCCATGTAAACCCAATCGTTAATATCATCAAGCCTCCTTTCCCTATCACCTTAGTTCATTGCATTCGCCGGAAACGGGAGAGGAAGGGATGGACTCGCCTGGGAAGAAGAAAAGAGACGTGAAATGATCAAAATATCCTCATTATTTTAACAATTAAAATTTTTCGACGAAATTTGGCCGGCAATTTGACCGGAGTGATCAAAATTGACGAAAATTACATAGTTAATGTACTAAATTGACACTTTTAAAACTCAAAGACTGAAATTAACAAAATCGCTATAGTCAAAGGACCAAAATTGAAATTTACTCTCTATCAATATAATGTAGTATTGATCCATCATGTTCTAGCATTTATATGGTTTCATTGCTAATTAATGACAAGAAAATTGCCTCTTTACATTTAACTTGTGCTATACAGCCAAGCCAATAGAGGCCTTGACAATCGCCTGTGCATGGACTTGGCCGTCACTGTCAGAGCAACTCAGCGCCCTTATCATCCACCGCAGCCTGTTTCCGGCTTGGGGTGGCGACGCCGCACCTGCTTTCCGGCTCTGCCTATTCTTCATGTCTTTCAAATCCATCTGTTTAGGAAACCGACCACCATCCATCCCAAACAAGAACAGAAACCATCTCGACCTCAACAATGGCGACGACGGCGGTTCTGCAGATTCTCGCAATGCCAGAGCCTTATTGGATAATTCCGCAGCCGCCTCTCCATCGCATTCCTTTCTCGAACTCTTTCTCCTCGTCCCGGTTAAGTTTCCTCGCTTGTTCTTTCGGCATTTCTCGTCGTTTTCTGGCACAGGGTCTTTGGGAGGAATTAGCTTTCCACAGAAGATGATCTCCTCGGGACTTGCGGCGGCGGGTTTCTTCCATTCTTCACTGAAGAACCCAAAAAACTCAGACTTGGACGAGGAAGACGACGACACAGAGCTGGAGCTCTGAGATTCACCGGCGGAGAATTTTTCCCATTCAGAAACATCGCTGTATATGGGAAGATCACACAAAGACAGTGCATCTTCTTCTTCTTCCGCCTCATCCACTTGATTCCACTTGATCTTGATCTTCATATTCAACAATAAACTTTTTGTCGGAAAAAGTCCGAGGTAGAAGATGGAGTTTTTGAGTGGATTAAGGAACTAATAACCGAGTATTTTGCGAGCTGAGTTGAATATGGCGGATCATATCGGAGTACTTTAGTATTTATATATATATATAAAGATTAGAGGGGAGAGAAAGGAGGAAAGATGAAGACTAGTATGCAGTGGAAAGGAGGGAGAGATGTGATGTACGTAGGTGATATGCAGAAGACTTGTTGGTTTCTGGCCTTCTAGACGGCAGTAAGAAACGACAGATAGAAGAAAAACATGGGTGATCTCCATTTGCACCTGCCATCTAGAAAGGCCTTAGTATTAAAATAAATAAATAAATAAATAGAGTTGTATTATATTGTAGATTTGTAGGATTTCATTACATTATTTTCACTTTTTTTTTTTTTAATGACAAAGAAAACTACTTACATAATAACTTACAAATTACACAAACAAAAAGAGAAGAGATGCTCCGCCTGCAAATCACAAAGGCCAGAGCGATTGCATTGACTCGATCGAAATGCATGGTGTTTTGGTATGAGTAGGCCGACTTTTTGAATTTTTGTAGTACCGTTCTTGTAAATAAATGAGGCTCTACCAAAACTATAAGCGTTATCGTTTGAAATGTAAGTACAATGATTTGTTAGGGGAAGAATTAATTTTCCATGCGATATTAGAGGTGAACTGGTGAATGATACATGTTTCAAGTTATCTCGATCTACAAATTCAAGGCTTGAGACATCATTAGTGCCGTTGGAGCATAACCTTTTTGCCATGGTGCATGCTCAATTAATTAGGTCCTAATTATTAGGAGAGAGAAGTGATTTGGGAAAAAAAAATTGATGAGTTCCTGAGTAATTGTAGATTTTTTTAATTTATTAAGTAGTTAGGTCAAAAATAAATATTGGATCCCCTAAAATTTGAGACACTGTGCTATTGGGCATTTTGCACACCTTAAAATTCGGTACTGGGTATGAGAATCATACTCTACCCACTCGATACGTAACTCTTTTAATTTTGGGGCAATTTTTACTTTTTTTTTGAAAGGAGTAAAAACTGCCACAAAATTAAATTTGACTTTTGATTATACTATTACAAAGCGTTTGGTTGAAGGAAATTTAAATTCTCTTCCCACTTAATTCCCACATAATTCCAAATGCCACAAAATTCCCTTATTTGGTTGAAAGGAATTGCAATTCCCCATTTTCATGGAATTAAAATCCCATGTCCCCTTGGGATTTTAGGAAGAAAAAAAGATAGTGATGTGTCAAAATTACCCATTCATTTTTTAACCTAAAATTAATGTCTAACAACAACAATGGACATTTTTGACTTTATACTACTTATTCCCTTTCAATTCCCCTGTATACCAAACATTGGAATTGAAATTCCCACTTTATTTCCAGTAATTCATCTCCATAGAATTGCAATTCCTTTCCCACGTAATTCCCCATCTCCAACCAAACGCCTTGAATTATTTTCATATTTAGCTTTTAATTACTTTTTTTTGTCCATTACGTATTCCGGCATTTAGTCCGCTTGATCAAATTTTTGACATGAAATAGTTAGAATGTATCATATTTTTAGTTCAAAATCGTATATTTTCTCTCTGAAAATGTGGAGGTAATAATCTTTAAACGAGTATAATTTTGAACTGAAAGTATGATACATATGGATTGGTTTTTAATAGAAATTTTGTTAAAATGACTAAATATGAGAATAAAATGAAAATTAAGAATAAAATGTGACAAAAATAATATTTTAATCGGATGCCAGATTGAACTTTTTACAGGAATCTGCCTAATCCAATACATAATCGGATACAAATAAGTCAATAACAGTTTAATTATCAAAGATTTTTTAGGTTATTTAACGTACACCTCACATTTTTGACGTGGAAAATGTCATTTCTAATAAGTTTATATTAAAATTTGTACCAAATGGCATCTTATCAACATGTAATGAGTCAATAATCATATGTCATGTGTGACATCCCAGTTTCCCAATTCACAAATTTTTATATATGAGGCAACCTAGTTAAGTTAGTTAATATAAACACTTGGCTTAGTAATCACAAAATTTTAAAATTTCTTTATAGAAGTTAGTTTTGACCTTTTCGATTTGAACCAGTTAGTTATAAGCGATCTAAATCATTTTGCCTTATTTGTGGTCCTTTGTTAACTAGAGTCACAAGGTAGGCTCTAGCCTATTGATCTTATCAGTTTGAGCTGATTAGCAATAGATAATCTAAACTATTTTATCTTTTTATAGTCATTTGTCGACTAAGGTCACAAGTCATACTTCAGCCAAAACGTACTTAGATTGATTTAATTACTTTCTTGTAGTCATTTGTCAGCTAGGCTTACAAGGTGGGATTCATGTGAGCACATCTTCAAGTAATGTCTTATTGGCTTTCTCAATTTGTATGTGCTGATCAGCTATGGACATCCTATGTTATTAGTTTACCTTTTCATTGTTATTTGCTGACTAGCTAGAGTCACAAGACGGTTCCACCCAAAATACACCTTCAAATGGCTTCTGCAAAATTTTTCATAAATAAAAATCTTTTTTTTTATTTTTTTATTTTTACATATGGTATTTTTCTTTAGGCATATGATATGGTTTTAAATGTTGTTATTATTATTATTCTTTTGTGCTCTGATTTTTATTTAAAAAAAAATTGCTTAACGTAATGAATAACTCAACTAACCATGGAATACTAGACAAAATACGTACAAAAGTTGAAAAATAATCTAAAATACCTTTAGTAGGTATTCCTATTATGCTCAAACCACTCTATATTACTCCGTTGTTATTTAAAAATTCTACTATGTCAAAAAAATTCTATACCTACCATAAATAGAAAGTGATTAATATTTTTGTAATAATCGACATTTTATTTTTAAAAAACATTAATATTTTAATTTTATATTTGAAAGCACAATACTTTTTTAGCATTATAAACTTTTTTCATTAATTATTACGTACAACTTGGAATTCTAGAGGGACAACAGGTTATTTTTATAGGTGTGAAAGAGAAGCTTCCTTTACTTTTCCTTTCTTTAAAATTTCTTGGTTGTTCTTAAGCATGAAGAAAAGTGGATCCATTCTACTTTTATTGGAAATTTTAAATAAAGGCTGTTAACAGTGGGTAAAATTCAGTTGATTTTTTTTTTTTTTTTGTGACAAAGAAATATGCATTTACTATTCGAGAGTATATACTGGATAAATTTATTTTATGTATTGACGGTAATAATATTACCGTGGTATATTCGAAAAGAAATAATCAAGTTGAGTAGTTGTATTACTAAGAGTCTAAGTATAAGTTTTAGAGTGTGTTTCTCTTACTGTCATAGGGGCTCAGGTTAAGGCACAACAACCTCTTAATAATTTAACTACAACGACTCATCTCAATAAGTGTCATGACTCCATAAATGCGCTGATCCTCCATAACTACTCATGCTCTTTGATGAGGCGGTGCTTTTAATAAGTGTGTGGGCTCTTGCAATCGTTCCACTTGCTCTCTTTGACCGTTATTGTTTGATTGCATTCATTGCTTTATTGAGTTATACCAAGAGTGCACTGAACCATGTCCAATACCTTCAAGTATCATGTCATGTGTAATAGTCTATACATCATACAAAAGTAGTAAGTCACATTAAAAAGATTATGTACAAAAATTTGACTAAGAATGGTTGATAATATTATTTTTTTAATCAATAAGTAAAGGAGATTCATTCTACTTTCTTGGTCCCAATTTTTTTTCCCCCCTATTGTCAATGGGTTTGGCCTTGATAATGTTACATGAACTAAAATTATTGGTATTTAAAATATAGTGATTAAACTTTTTTGATAGAGTTTAAACTTTCACCTTAATACTTAAAAGAAAATTTTATACTTTTTGAGGCATTATTGATTAATAATGGCATAATGGCGTGGTTTCAAAGTGTCGGCTAAACACTTGGGTCAAACGACTTTACTTGCGTAACATCTATTGGACTATGCCTAACACCCTAAATTGGAAGTTTCCACTTGTCTCTTTTTGGGTTATGTCTCACAAAAAATAAAATTTAAAAAAATCTCACTAAAATTTTAACTTTAATTTTTTTTTTTTTAAATAAGATCAGCAACGATTACTATTTACAAGATACACATGAAATAGCCCATAAATCACATATAAAAAAATAAAATTAATTGTATCAAAAAAATAATGTATTAAGTACAAAAATTATGTTCTATTCACTCAATCACCTATTTTGAGACTAGTTTAATTTTAATTTTATTTTTATAATAATATTTTTAAAATTAATCATTCCATTTGAATTTGTCCCATTCCAATCCGTTAACATCTATGAAAGTTTTAGTGTTGTTTATTTCATTAATATTATTTATTTAATTCCTTTTAATTTTAAGGCCATTCTTGTAAATCCAATACTGATTTAAGATAATGGTTTACCAATGAGTATTAGGGATTATAAATTAAACAAACTTGAACAAGTGATGGTTCGAATTTGGTTTGCTTGTTAAATGTATTTTTATTTAAATTTTTTTCTTAAAAAAAAAAAAAAAAAAACCTTTCTTTTCATTTATGATATAAACAAGCATACTCATAGGATATGAGTGAAAATTATGCAATAGCATGAGTCGTACTTTGTCGCCCTTTGAGATTCTACCCAACATAAATATTACGAGCATGATTAGTCTTGATGTATTGAATAAAAACATTACAAAGTCATTCATAATAATAAATATAGTCAAAAAGGAAAAGTATACATACCAATAATATAATGAAGAGAAATTTGATCATCTTTTCTTTGTTCACATTATACCTTAATCTTTCTACTTTTCAAACTATATTATTAGCTTGTGTATGTTTACATGGTATTGATCATGTACATATTGCAGTGAGTAGCTACAAAAGTTTATTTTCACCTTTGCATCCAACATTATAACAAAAAACGACCACGATGACAACTAAACCATACAATCTATTAATCACGCGTTAAATAAGAATTTTTTTTTTTATCAACCAGTCATATAGTACAATATATATTTGTATCTACATAATATGACACCATTGCCGCACAAATATATATAAGCTTGTACATAAGGTTAAACTTTATGTTAAATAGCAGTATGTTATTGCATCTTTAATTTATTTAATATTATGACGTAGAGTCTATATAAATTGTGCTTAGAATGAGCTTCATGAGCCCCCTCGTTTTGTGCAGGCTTTGATGGAGGATCAATCATCTTCAAAGAGTTTCACCCACATTTTTATCCAAAATAAAATTTAAAAAAAAAATATCAACATGTTCATTTGGTTTCAATTATAGATTCGTTGGTTAAACTATGGAAGTTTCTATATTTAATGTAATTTGGCTTTTCTCCACCTACTACTGTAGTTGATGACATAATACCAAATAACAAAAAGATGAGATGATCGCTCATATTCCAGTGATGTAATTTGTTTGTTTTTGCTCCTCTAGAAGGTCAAAAATTTTGACACCTACTCTAACTATGAATCAGACATCAACTAGTCACCGCCGTCCTTCCACAAAAATATGTAACACCTTTAAAATCGAACAAATGGTGCATCAAATCCAAATTAGTTTCAAAATGGTGGAGATACCAAATACCGTATGAAAAGAAAATGAAATTTTTTCGTATCATAAATGTTGCCAAAAATTGAGTAACCAATTGTTTGTCTTGATCATATCCTTCTACTATGAACTGGGAAATATAAAGTCTGAGGTAGTTAGAGCATGTAGGGCACAGTGCCCCTTTCCTTGACTAATCATCACTTACAATCCAAAGCTAAGAATTAAAAGCCCAAAATTTTGTAGTGAAGAAGAATGATGTTACAATTATGCTTTGACAGTTCTTTGTTTCTTCCCCTTTAAGTTAACCATAGCATCATCATTTTTGGGGTTGTGTCTTTCTTTATCAGCATCTACGCCATCACGGAGCTGCCCTCTTTTCCGCTTTGGTTTCTTTGGTGTTGGCAAGCTGTGCATTACATAATTGAGAAGATGAAACACACCGCAGATGGGGATAACTCTTGGAAAAAAAATGTATAAGGAAAATTCTGTGCCTGACATTTCACTTCTACAAATGCATATTAGATATGAATGTCCATCTGTGCTTAGAATTTGAAATGTTCCCCAAAATCTTTGCAAGTACTTAATAATTGCCACTTTAGTAACTTTATGCTCTATAGTTTTACCTCCATGCAGCTACCAACATGATCCAGTAAACATCAAACAAGACAAAGTAAAGTTAAAGTAACTGCACCTCATCTTTTCATTCTTCCGCAAAGTCCTTAGAGCAGCATTATCATGAACACTTTTGTAGTATTGAGTGAATGGAGCTTTCAAACTTGACTTCTCAAGCTGCATTGAAACAGACGAAACTAAAATCGTTTCCTCTATAGATGATCAAAGCCTTATTTAATCAATAGAGTAACAAACCTGAAGAAATAATTCAACGGATTGATGATCATTAGGTGAAAAAGCCACCTCATCTCTCTTCTTTTGAACAAGCCCCACATTTTGCTCAACCTGCATCACACCAAAATGGTTAAAAGAAAACTTTCAAGATATGAAAGGCAACTAACAAATAGAAGAAAAGAGAACGTCACATGAGGAAAATTACCTGGTCAATCAAGCGATTAATGACTCGCTTTGAACTGTCGGCACTAGTCATCTCACAGAATTTCTTTAGACGAATGATTGGGATAGTTGCTAAGTCGGGAAAGGAAATGTGGTAGCTCCACTGAGCAAAATGTGCTGATAGTTGTTCAATTGCTGAGAAAACGCATTCCTCTTGGAAGGTTCGTGACTTCAAGCAATGCTTTGGTAACTGCATCACATGCTAGGTGACAATTAATACCAGTAACAAATAATAACAAGAACTCTGTATAGAATCGCCAGACTACTAAATGTTCTCCTCACCTTCAAAACAGAATTGAAGTTAACAGCATTTCCAGGTTTTCCACCCTCTTTGACTATTTTATATTCCAAAACATCCAACACAAACGAGGCAACAGGGACAAAAGTTCCACTAGAAATAGAGAGACTGTTAAGCCACTGAATGCACTTGAGTCTCAAAGGAAAATATCTTGGTCCGGCAAACATACAAGCAACTCCATTTATAAGCTGAACCATAGTGAAAAACAAAGGTTCAAGATCATAATTTCGTATGTTGGCTGATATAAATGCAACCCAGAGATCAACACAGTTAGTGTATTCCCAACTGCAGATCTTTTTAACAGCTTCCTGCATGACAAAATAAAGGATTACAGCCAAGAAATGTTTCCATACTTCCTATGCAAACCCATGATGATTGATGGGCTTTTTTTATCATACAATTTTCAAAAGGAAGCAACACTTGATCACTGATTACCCTTTTCTTAGTATGCAAGCCCCACTGCAATACTTTGGCTAGTTGAGAGACAGATAGAACAGCCTTCTTAGAACATCTTTCAACATCTACTGAGAACAAATCAACTAAGGAATTTCTCAGGAACTGCATATGTTTGACATTGACAACTTCAGAAACCCTCGACTGAGCAAGATAAGCAACAAATGTTTTAGCTAGGCAGTTCTCAAAGCAATCGGATGTGAATGTTGCAGCTGCATCCCGTATGATTACAAATGAAGCTGATGACAGAACTCCTCCTCCTGTTGCCCACAGATGGACTGTTGTCTGTTTCAAGATAAGATGTGTCAGAATATAATACCAAGGCAGAGACATCCAAAGTATTAAAAAATAATAATAATAATAATAATAATAATAATAATAATAATAATAATAATAATAATAATAATAATAATAATAATAATAATAAAATTGTAAAAAGATCTCAAGAACTGCATGTATTTGATTATAATAGCAGTAGAAAGGTCTTCAAACACTCTTTTAAGTAAAAATTGTAAGTAGAAAAGGATCTCAACAATAAAAGGAAATGAATGAAGGAAACATTTACTTAATTTAGTCAAATTTTGAATGAGTGCAACTGAAAACATAATGGTATAGATTTTCTATGAGAACTTTATTATGAGCAAATACAAGCTATTTATTCCATATTGAAAATCTTATTAAAATTAAATTACCTTAATTAGCCTGTTCAGAAGAGATGGGAACGCAGTAAAGAACACTAGAGAAGCTCTCAATCGGGTCAAAGCAAAAGCCAAAATCTCTGAATCAGTGACCTGATTCAGCAGAAATAATGTACTTCTTAAATAAGATTTGATAAGAGGTTTTGCTTTCTTCAATTTTGAAGTATTATTCAGTTCCCTAATAACTTCTTTCTCAGAATTGGAGGATGATATTTGTAAAAGCCCTCGGATTAAATTATCTGCCTCAGAAAGAACGAACAATATTAAATTGCAAAATGCATCACTGCTCTGAAAGTGATGGGGGACAGACTCAGCTCCATAGTGGCATGCTGTCCGATAGGCATTTAATATACTAACTACTGCAGATTCCCTGCAATCGTCTTTGACAAGTTGACGCCAAGAGCCAATAACAGCATCATTTAAAATTTTTCTGTTTCCTTCACCAAGATTGTCTTCATCTACAGAGTCAGTCACATTATTATTCATCTCATCTTCATCAGAGTCCTGTTAGTCAAGAAAAACCCATATCACCACCATAAGTGTAAATGGCATACATCTAGTCCATGGTTACATAATACTAGCTACAAGCTCATGATATTTGCACTGAAGAAACAGCTTGTTAGTTAAAATGATTCTTCTTAAGCTAAGAACCATACTGACGTAAATTTTGGAGACACTACAGGAGGGCATGCAAAGCTTAGTAGCAAACTACCTATGAAATGCATTCTTTTTTCCAAAGATTGCTCCTTTTCAGGAGCATTTCTGACTTGTAAAACATTAACAGAAATGATTCTGTATTCCTAAGGAATATCTAAAAATGTTTCAACTGGCACATGTTTCCTGATAAAGCAGTTAAGAAGAATATCAGATTTTCCTGTTGAAGATATGAGCAAATTCAGTCTTCATAATCCTGTAGCTAAATTAGCTAGCATTCATCAAAACAAACAATATTTTCTTCAGCTTACCGTTCCTCCGTTCTGATGCATTTCAACATCCTTGTACCTTTCTAAGAATTTGCAGAAATCTGGATTCTGTAACAATTTCAAATGAAATTTACTTTAGTAGGAAAACAAACAAAAGAATATGCATTGGGTGAATAAGGATTATTTTTTCCTATTCTATTTCTGTAAAGAATTGGTATTATTCATTAGCAATACATTTTATTGGCTTAACTTCCTTCCCATATCTTCAGAACAAGTAAGAAACACTGATTGAGTAAATGAAACAACCTTCTTTTTCAGCCTTTCCAATTTCTTCTTTTTTACAGTAAGGTCTTCAAGAATTTTTCTGTTTTCCATTGATAAGGAGCTAGCATCATTGTTATCTGCAAGTAAAATAACCACAGTATTCTGTTGTTGCTCATACCAAGAAGTAGAGTAAAGAATACATGAGTAACAGTGTATTGGACAACAAATTAACCTTCTAAAGCATTTCCAGGCTCACTCTCTGTAGCATATTCACCAGTATTTTCCTGACATTTTGATTATAAAATGAATCAAGAAGAAAAACTATGAAAAAGAAGAAACCAACTGTCGTGAGTACAACCATCTAAAAGCATAATTAAGTATTAACACCTCAGAAAGATATCCATCACTGTCCGAGGCATCTTCAGCGATGTCAATCTCATCTTCAATGAATGCTGCATCAAGAGGAGTGTCTTCAAAAACATCATCATGGGTGCTTCTGCAAATAATTGCAACAGTCAAGAACTAATGTCTTAAGAGCATAATGTCTTGCATGAGGCTCCTACCAAACAATGGACATGGTCCAAATATGGTGGATAGGGCAAAGACCAAGCATCAAGTGGACATTTATGGTACAGCTACAACTATATCTTTCTGAAACATGACAATTACACCTTAGCAGAACCACAGTAGAAACAGAAGTAGCTACCAACATGTAGAGTTACCGTATCACAGCACTTGTGTGGAAGTTGTATATGAAACATAAACTGGCAAAGATTATTCAGTGAAAAGTATATAGTTTGGATGAAAAGACAAACTCTGAATTGTTAGTAGATTTCACTGGAATTGGAAAACTAAGTAATCCTGGTGCCTGACATCCCTGAATCCTTTTAATAAACACCCACCCCTAATACCTAACCTCAAATAGAACCCCAAATGTACTGAAGCTACACAGGATGAAAAGAAGCACCAAATTCACCTTGTTTACCTTCCATTAGAGCGTTCTCTGGTACCGACTTTGTTTTCGGCACTATTCTGCTCCTCTTCTGCACCAAAGAGAGCTCAGGTCGTAAAATATAAGCATTCAAAATCATCCAAAATCTGACATTTTATTGAAGCAAAATCTCAGCGAGCAAAGCTATAAAGTTGGGACGCAGAGATTGTACTGGAAGATGATCTTTTCTTGAAAAGAACTTTGTTCTTCCGCTGTCTTCGATGCACGGATTGAAGATTCTTCTTTGCGAACTTCCTGGCCTTCTTCCCGAGCTTCTTCGCCATCGCCCGACAACCCGAGTAGAAGTCTAGACAAGGGTTTAAGCTATCACGCTCAAATTCTAGTTATAGTTAGGGTTTTAGTTTATAAAAACTGCCAGCTCACATTACGCAAATCTTCAGGCCTGTCTCAATGGTCTTCCCGTAAATAACTATAAATTAAATTTGATGTCAAAAATCTGCATGGTCTTCCTTTACAAATTACAATTACTTCAAATTATCTTTGTTTCTCATTTTAATAATATAATTATATGACCTTTCAAAAAAAATTAATAATATAATTACATGATACTCGTGTCACTATTAAAGAATATAATTATTTTAATAATATAATTTTACATTTTTCATCCCTAAGTTATAAGATAATTGTAAAATTCGTTCCTAAGTGTTGGTCACTCAATGTTCGTTCCTAAGTTATCATTGGTGTTGCACTTTTCGTCCCTAATTTATACTAAAATTATAATTTCGTCCCTAATGTTTTATTAGTAAAGGGACTAAAAATGCAACATTAATAATAACTTAGGACGAAAAGTGAATATGACCAGCACTTAAGGACAAATTCTACAACTACCCTATAACTTAAAGACAAAATTTGTAATTTTCTCTTTTAATAATATAATTATATGATGATATTCGTGTCACCATGAAAGAATATAATAATTTTAATAGTATAACTATATGCACGTGTTCGTTTTACTAGTATATATATTATGATCTGCTGACAAAAGATTACAAAGATCAAACATATATCATGACCTGATGACAAAAGTCCAATTCACCAACTAAAATTAAGAAGGTCAATAAACAACTTAAACGAAAAATCGAACTCAAAATCTTGAGGTTATCAAACTAATTGTCCATATCTAATATCCAGTCAAGATGTGGCCCCAAATTGCATGCTCCTAAAATTTAACTTTTACTTGGGAGAAACAAGCAGATCCAAAGAGAAGAGGGGGTTGATATGACCATTAAAAACAGATCAAAAAGTGTCTACAAATACAAGTGTCTGTCTATTCATTGCAAGGCCACTGTACAAAATGTACATGCATAGCAACCTGAATCTGGAACACATGGAATACATCCATCATGGCTGAGAAAGTGAGAGAGGTTCTATAGCCCTTGAACGAACCAACCCTAGATGTGTCAATGGCAGATACACCTAGCTAAAAGAAACCAAATTACATGCAAGTCAAACTTTACAAGGTGCACGGACTTTAACTCCCTTCGCTACCAATGCACAATCCCTTTACAGAGAGGACCGGCAGCTAACTGTTGCAGAGTCTTTATGGACAGAAGGCAGCATCAATTGCTTTATATACTGGAGCAGTATCAAATCGGAAGTTTCTGAAGCTTCTACCGGGACCAATTTCTACAGGTTGCACATCAGTTGTCGATTTGCTTGGCTGACTCTCTGTTACCACTGTGCTTCCGGTAGAGCTGTTCTTTGCCCTCCACATGCTAATTCCTATACAAGAAAAGTATAGTTCCTTGCTAAATTATGGAGTCAAAAGATGACAGGCAGTGGCATTAATTAGTAAAATAAAAAATAAAAAAAAATACAGCACTTGAAGATTTCATGGATACTACACTAATATTGTGCTTCTAGTATTGTTCTTTTGTATATTTATCTATTTTATAAAAAGCGTGGTGGATAAATTTAAATGAAACTTATGACCACAGCATTACAACAATGTTTATGTTATAGTAGTAGACAATATCATAGATACTACAGCACCTCTAGTCCCCTCATCACATTCCAAAATCAGGATACAATATGTTTTTCTAGGTACAAAGTCTTATTGTTCTTGCTCCTCGTTTTTAGTAACTAACCCATTTTACCAACTGAAAACGGACATGAAATAAAAGAAGAAGGGGGGAGGGGGGTGGAGAGAGAGAACCTTTCGTGGGTCTATCAGATCTGGGTGCTACTGGAGGCTGATGTGCTGAAATCCATGCTTTTAAAGACCTGCACAAAGCTTTTATTATCTCCTATAAATTGAAGGAAAACTAATGAGTAGTTAACAAAGACCACATCCACTCACATTAGAAATGGAGCAACCATGTAAAGTTTGAGGCCAGTGTAACTGCGAGAGATGACATCACCATTTGCTGGCTGGAGTTCATCAAGTCGCTGCCATGCTATTTCCTGCATACAAAAGCACATTCAACATTTAGCAGCTGTACTTATCGTACAGCAGCTCCTTCTGGATGTGTGTGCAAAACAAATGCCAGTCACCAACTTCTGTTTTCTCCCCTTCCTACCAACATATGACCTTAAGAAAAATTCAATAACCGAAAAAAGCTACATGGATCTGTCTCCAACAACTACAATGAGATCTTTAATTATAGCATATCTATGGTATTCCTGAACTCATCGTCACAGTAGTCCAAATCACAAAAGGTTGTCAGCACAACTTTTCATTTTGATTTTCTAGCCACTGATCTAAGAACAAAAATGCTCCTCTTTTTTCAACAATCTCTTAGGGGCAAGTTGGATAGAGATACTTCAATAACTTACACTAATCTCCTTTTTGGTAAGTGGTGCAAAGGCTGTATCCTCTTTCACTCCAGCAATTATGTAAAGCCGCACTCTTTGCTGTCCAAATACCATCTCTATATGCTCTTCTTTCTTAAGAAATTTTGAGACATCAAACCCTGTTTCCTCCAAAACCTGCATCCATCCATCATAGAATATAAATAACGATATTTTGTTAGGTAGTATATGGCTTAAAAGGAAAAGTCAGAAATAGTCTACTGATAAAAGTTTTTTAATGAGAAAAGCACAGCAGAAAGATGGAGCTTTGCATCACTTTTGTATATAAAGCGACACAAAGTGGCAAAATTAAATTTTATTCAGAGGCTATGGAGTTTGACCAGATGCATATATACAGAGTTGTGAATTCACTCAACACGAATCTAAGAAACAGGATTAGGAACCTCTCTAATGGCACATGTATGGTCTTCTTCGTCCTTATTCTTTTTTCCACGAGGGAAACTCCAGCTTGATCCTTTCCATCCCTTCACTAGCAAGCACTGCATTTTACAAAAATTGTCAGCAAATACAAAGCATAAAGAAGGCTAGGAACAATAAACGGGAGTTCTACAGAGGGGTCTAATGACTGAAATGGGCAACTTTCAACAGGCAATGACAAAAATAGGAAACCATTTAAAAATGTATAATATTGGGAAAAACTAATTTGGGAAACGCAAATAAGTTTCTTAAAAATTCAAAATGATTTTTTTTATAGCTAAAATACAAGAAACGCATGTGGGGCATGCGTTTCTTGTATAAATACGAAGGAAACATAAAACGCAAGTCCCAAATGAGTTTTTCCCAATATTATACATTTTTAAAAAGCTTCCTATTTTTGTCATCGCCTATTGAAAGTTGCCCATTTCAGTCATTAGCCCTCTACAGAGGACACCTAAGAGCATTGTAAGTATTTATCTCACTAAAATAATAAAAAATAATATATATATATATATATATATATATATATATATATGTATGTATATAAAGGAGAGAAGAAGAAGTCAGATGCATATGTAAGGTGGCTTTTGTACATTAAGATAATATACAAGAGGTTGTCACAGTCAGTATCTCATATGGTTTAATTTCAGGTGAATATTCAGCAAACAAAATAAAATTTATACACAATGCCAGGTGAGCACCTATAGCTCATTTTACTGCAGTTGACCTGGGTTTGTCTCCTCACTGCAACTACATAACTTCCAAGATAATTCATACAGCACATATTATGCATACACACAGTATACTCCAATGTGTGAGAATACATATTAGAATGCATGAATACACTGCTTTTATTCAAGAAGAATAAGTATCCAAGAAGAGACAACAGCACTAACAAGAAACAATAATTACATGAAATTTATTCTCCAAAGAATTGATTACCCACGTTCATTTCTGTGTTTGATAGTATAATTTAAGCCTTCACAAATAAAAACTCTTCACCAAAAAAAACAGAAAAAGACACCCAAGATATAGATACTACACTTACTAAACAAGCATCTCTTCATTCACTTTTTTAATTACAGCATTCACAAGGAAATTCCCAGAGCTCAACTCTTACCCGTTCATAAGTCTCATCCAGAATAATGGCCCCTGTAACTGGAACTCGAACCTTATATGAGGTGAAGTCCTTGAAAATGTCATCTATATGGGCAACGTATGGTTTTAAAACATCACAGCTGTTAAATACTGAAGTGGTTTAAGGAAAGCACGTATAGGATAATGGGGAATGAAGTGCATTTCTCATTAAATAGTAAAGTTAACTTTCCATTCATTGGAGAAGAGAAAACAGAAAGAAGAGCCCACCCAGGTTCATGAGTAATACTCCCTATCATGCAAATGGGATCAAGGACATAACATGCATCATACAGTAAGAACCCCATGTCCCTATCCTTGCCAACAACATCAACAATCTACTCTCCACTAGGAAATAAAAGCTCCAACTGCACAGACATTCTGAAGGATACACAAAGAAGTGAATTCCTTAAGAGTGAAAGATTTCAATGATGGATTGTTCTCAACAGAATTGTCTTCGTAAAACCAATGTGCGTACTCCACAAGAAACAAAATCCTCTCAAAAGATTGCTGATCTTCCTTTGGCACATTCAGAACAAACCGACTGCATCGAGGAAGATAAATACACTGATGTTATAAATTTTAGTATATCACTATGAATCAAGAGAATAAAAGAGGGACATGTTTAACTTGTGGATAAAAGCAGAACTCTAGCATAACTGCAGATGCATTAATTATTACACCAAGGTTAGCCCTAACTTAAGTGTCAAAGTGATTAGCACTGCTCTACCTCAGCTTAACAAATGATTGCGTAAAGTAACTTTATAATTGTAACTTGTAAGTGCCAAATGCTGCTAATAAACCAATAAAGAAAGCAAGTAATTTTACAAGGCTACACTCTGAATCACAATTTAAACCACGACACAATTGAAAGAAATTCAAATAAAAAAAGGCTCCATTTCCTCTAATTTTTTAGCAATTATGGACACAAGATTCTAGCTTTTCCTACCCTTAATTAAAATACCATATAGTATTAGTATATAACTGTGCATACGGAACAGACAACAAATAAGCAAACCGCTAATTCATATGCTTCGTATGCGCGCGCGCACAGAAACACACATGCTCGGAAATACGTAAGTGAATCTACCTGCAGAGATCATCGAGCAATTCTTGAGGAGGGAGACCGTTCTTTTGAGGAGCGCTGGAAGATCGATTAAGCCCGGACATTTGTTGAAACCTGCACCAAGAACTAAAAACCCTAACTACGATCTCTTCAGATTTATGAGTGTGAAATGTATTGCAGCACTAGGATTGAAGTCAACACACAGCGTTGAAGAAGGAAGAGCTCTTCGTTGGGACTGAACTTTTAACAGATCAGAAAGAGCTCTTCCTCGTTATTCATTGATTTATACTCTTCAGGGAATACACACACTTCTTTACTCATCAAAAACGCAGTTGCTATGAAATATAAAGATGCACGAGGGCATTTCTGGAATTTTCCTTTTTTTTTTTTGTGTAATTGAAAAAAATCTAGATATTAAATAAGTTCCTAATAACTTTTTTTTTTTTTAAATACTTTGTGGTCTGATGACATTAATGTTATCATTCCAAATAAAAAAATTACAAGTTAATCATGCTGAGCAAATACTATAGATAAGTTAGATTGTAATTACAATAAAAATAATAATAATGTTTACTACTCAATGGTGATTGGTGAAGAGTGAAAACTGTGCAAACTTTACTCTTGTGTGATAGTCCACAAATCGTACTAGAAAGATCCTTTACGATGGGCTTGACCGAGATCTACGTGAATCATACTCTATCCACTCAATCAATCATTTTGAAAAGAGACTCCTCTGAACTATGATATGCAGTTCAGCCCGATGGAGATATTGTTAATGGATAGAAGAATGAAAATAGATGCTCATGTGAAAAATTCTCTATTTTTCCAAGTTAGTAAACGACCCTTTACTTTCTCAAGGGCCATAGAAAGAGAAAATGTGAAAGAGGAGAAAAAAGAAAAAAACAAAAAAAAAATATTAATGTTTGATTACATTTAATGAGGTGGTGCAAAAAACACTTTTTTATTTATACCACCTATAAAGCTATTACACCTATTAATTGGGTGGTGTAAATAGCAAATAAGGTGGTGATAATATAGTAACATAACCCGTGTGGGCAGCTCAACTGATCATAGAGGTAAAATTTTAGAAGAATTATCGCAACCTTTTAAAGTGAGAGGAGAGCCTCAGTGGTCATCCCAAACTCTCTCTCTTTGTTGGGAAGAATAATATAGTAACATAAGTACATACATAATCTCTCTAAAAAAAACACAAATACTCCGTAGAATAATAATATAGTAACATAAGTACATAACTATGGAAAGACTGATTTCCTTGGTTGATGGAAGCCATTGTTGCTTCTTCTTCTTCATTTGCTGTGAATGTTCTCAATCTCAGTCTTTCTCCCACGAATCTGAATTCCAAGAGCCTCAAATACCACCTCCCCCGTTCCAAATCCAGGGCGGCTTCTTCATTTTTTGCAAATATCCATTACCCTTATCCTAACTCTCCCTTTCCTCTCCCAAAACCAGGTAAGTAAGATTATGTGTTTAATTTGCTATCTTTGTATGTATTTTTGTGATTCATGTTGGATGCCCAGATGCATATTATTGGACTGTATACTGTGAATTATGGTTTATGCATATCAACCAAAGGTTTCAGATGGTCAAAACAGGTTTAGTCATTCCTGTCCTGCAAAAAGGCGGGGCGGGCGGGCTATGAGTTGTATGGCCTGCATGGGCGGGCTAAACTCGATCATTTTCTTATACAGGTGTTTGTAGGGCCAGTGAAGTAGCTGAACTAATCCCAAGCATATCACCAGAAATTGTGGTTAGGGAGGCAAGGTTGGAGGACTGGTGGGGAATAGCAGAGACTCATTACAATTCCTTCTACCCTAATTTCTCCTTCCCTATAAATGTCCTGCTGAGAATGAACAAGCTGATAGGATTGGTGTTTGGATTCTCTGTACCAAATGGGTGCAAGAGGGCTTGTTTAGTTGCAGTCACTGGAAGCTCAGAAGAAGAAGAAGAAGAAGCATTGTTATTAGGGAGTGAAGGCTATGTGACTGGGATACTGATTCTTGATACACTGGCTGATTTTCTTCCCAGGAAAGGACCATTGCAGCAGAGAAGGTCAGGGATTGCTTACATATCAAATGTTGCTGTGCGAGAGGAATTACGCAGGAAAGGAATCGCAAAAAAACTTGTAGCTAAAGCTGAGAGTGAAGCACGAACCTGGGGATGCCGCGCCATTGCATTGCACTGTGACGCTAACAACCCTGGAGCCATAAAGCTGTATATGGGGATGGGTTTCAGAATCATCAAAGTGCCAGAAGGAGCTAACTGGCCACAACCCAGAGCTTCTCCGGGCTTCCACTTTAGTTTCATGATGAAGCTTCTGGAGACACCGTCCAGAGGTTAGGAGAATCATACGCCACCCACTCAATCAATCATTATGGAACTGTCTCTAATAACTTGTATACTTATTATAGTTGAAAGTGGGACATAAGTTTCACTTTTAACCACAACCTAATCTATCAGTGTGAAAAAAGGTCTATTGTATGCTGAATCGTATAGACTATTAGACGGTATTGTTATCCATTAAATAAGTTATAAGTTGTCTTTGTCTTAGTTGTTTTTTAAGGATTGTCCAAAACAATCAAGATTGTCTTTGTACAAAATTTGAGATGATAACTATTTTTATTATAGACCTAAGATGAAAATAGTTTGGTGATATTTTGTAGGCAATCGTAAATTTTTTGAAAGAAAACTATTATTATGGTTTAAAAACTCCCAAGAAAACAATTTGATGGCTATCTTCATATCGGTGAAGCAATTGCCTCTATCCAATACTTAATTAAATTTGTTTATAAATTGTATTTTAGGTTGTCTAGTTCATATTATATGCTATGTGAACTATGTAAAATCATCGCGGTCTTTGAATATGTAACAATTCTTCATACTTTTGTGAAAATTTAACATGTTCAATGATTTTTTTTTTTAAAATTATGGAGTACGATATTCTATTGCACCATTTATTTGACCGTAACAGATTTAATACTTTCTCCATTTATTTACTACTGTATAACATAAGTACATCTTTATCTTTATCTTTATATCTTTATATCTTTATCTTTATCTTTATAATAAGTACATTTTTTATCTTTATCGTTATATATTTATATCTTTATCTTTATCTTCTTTTCTTTTATCTTTATATATATATATATATATATATATATATATATATATATATATATATATATAATAAATTAAAATCTAGCTACAAAATTTTTCCTCCAAAGTGTGATTGCATTTTGATAAAAACAAAATTAGCAAGTATGAAGGCATTCTTCCAAAAGGAAGAACCCCAACCCCGATAGAGCATTTGGGAAGATGTAAATCATGGTAACTCAAGTGAACATGAACCATCACTTTGAGAGGTTGCTCCCACACTACCGCTGGTGAGACTCAATCCTTGGTCATTCTTCCAAAGTTTCACCTCTGTGACCAGTTGAGCTGCCCATGCGGGTGTAAGTATGAATGCATTAATTGTGTGGGTAGATGTATTTAAACATATTTTTTTGAAGTTATTATATGTGTTTATATTTTATAAATTATATTTTATTATTATAGCTCTATCTCTATCTATATATGTATGGAAAAAAGTTCATTATGTTCAAATTTATTGGTAAAGTTTTATATTTAATATAATTTGTGTATATATATTCATTTAAACCTCAATTATAATTAATTTGACTCCACATATATACAGACGAAAAATTATATATAAAATATAGTTCTTACATAAATAATCTTTTTCAAATGAATAAGTTTTGGTGGAGATTTTAGAAAAAAGTGTCAAATTGGCCCCCTAAATCAAGTGGATAGTGTAATTGAGTCCTCTAAATGAAAAAAACTCCATTCAAGCCCCGTAAACCGGTAAAATTGTTCAATTAAGTTCAATTTGACTTGTTTATCAGGTTAAATCTATACAGTGTTAACACGTGTCCTTATTTTATTTAAAAAATATTTTTTTAATTAAAAATTTAAAATATTATTTATTATAAATTAATTAAAATAATAATAATTAAAAAAAAAAAACAAAACAAAACAGCCACCAACTGTCCGCGCCGGATAGTCGGTGGCTGTCTTCCTTATTCACGGACAGTCGTGGCCGGACAGAAGATGGCCATGGCCTACATTGTATAGTTATACTCACATTTTTAATCAAACTAATTCTGAGCTCAAGAACTCAAGTACGTTTTTATGTTTTCACAACCATTACTTTTTTTGCTAATTCAGATGATGTCAAAAATTTAATTGGTAAATTTGTTAAATTAATAATAGTTCGTGCATTGCACGGGACAATTACTAGTAACTATGTAAAACTGATTTCCTTGAAAAAAAGACTGAAATGTGAAGGTAGAGGTATGTATTTCTCAAAATGTGAATGTCTATTTTTATGGACAAAAATATGAAAAAGAGGTTCGGGACATGCGTTTGATGTCAGAAGTGGTCAAACCACAAACGTAAGTCCCACTTGCGTTTGTGTGTATTTTTTTATTTTTTAAAAAATTTGATCGCTGGCGGAACTGTCAGCGACACCCTTCTCCAACGAAGGAGAAGACAATGGTTTCCTTCTCCTTCGCTGGAGAAACCGGTGACCAAATCGCTGGCTTCTCCAGCGAAGGAGAAGGCAACCAGTGACGGTGGCCTTCTCCTTCGCTGGAGAAGGCCACCGCCACTGGTTGTCTTCTCCTTTTGTGATTTGACCACTTATGACATCAAACGCATGTCCCAAACTTCTTTTTCATATTTTTGTCCACAAAAATAGACATTTACATCTTGAAAAATACATGTCTTTACCTTCACATTTCAGTCTTTTTCCCGATTTCCTTTAGGGGATTACGTTGACTTGTCTTCATTCTTTGTCGTCTTACTCTGCCTTAGCAACTACAGATTCTCTGCTTCCTTACACTCTTCTCTGTTTGCTTGTCCCTTCGTCTGTCTTTCTGTTGCACTCTAAATCTCTCCAGAAACATTGGAGAGAGAGAGAGTTTGTGTGTGTGAAGAAGCTGATGAGGACAGTACCATGTGGAGTTGCAGAGGCCATTGTTGCTTCTTCTTCTTCTTCTTCTGTGAATGTTCTCAGCCTCAGTCTCTCTACCATGAATCTGCATTCCAGGAGCCTCAAAAACCACCTCCCCCCTTCCAATTCCAGGGCGGCTTCTTCATTTTCTGCAAATATCCATTACCCTTATCCTAACTCTCCCTTTCCTCTCCCAAAACCAGGTATAGTTAATCTGTTTGCTTTCTTGAGTATGTATGTATTTGTGTGTTTCATGTTGGATGCCCAGATGCATATTATCGATCTGTATACTAATTATATGGTTTCTGCGATTCAACAAGAGTTTTTAGAATTGAGATGGATACAATTAGATAGATATTTCCAGTGTTTCAAGTTTGTATTTTTCTGGGGAATATCATATTTCCGGAATAAAAATGCCATTTTTATTAGGATACCCGCAGTTACTACCCAAGGCTCAAACCAAGAAGGCCAATAGGCCAATCCTGTTCTATTGGGAGTCGAATTTATAACTTGGCAGTTATCAAGTCAACAGTCCAACCAACTAGGCTGGGATTGCTCCTAATCATAGTTTCTTTGCTTAATCAGGTGCTTGTAGGGCAAGTCAAGTAGCTGAACTAATCCCAAGCATATCACCTGAAATTGTGGTTAGGGAGGCAAGGTTGGAGGACTGCTGGGGAGTAGCAGAGACTCATTGCAGTTCCTTCTTCCCTAATTACTCCTTCCCTATAAATGTCCTGCTGAGAATGAACAAGCTGATAGGATTGGTGTTTGGATTCTCTGTACCAAATGGCTGCAAGAAGACTTGTTTAGTTGCAGTCACTGGAAGCTCAGAAGAAGAAGAAGAAGACGAAGATGCATTGTTATTAGGGAGTCGGGAGATCAAAACCGCGGGTTTTAATGGAAGGTTGAATCTGAGTAAAGGCTATGTGACTGGGATACTAACTCTTGATACACTGGCTGATTTTCTTCCCAGGAAAGGACCATTGCAGCAGAGAAGGTGAGTTCATTCCTTTTCTCCGTCTATCAGGTACACATGAAATAATGTGTGTTCATCTTAGTGGTTGACACTTGATCGACAACAGGTCAGGGATTGCTTACATATCAAATGTTGCTGTGAGAGAGAATTTACGCAGGAAAGGAATAGCCAAAAAACTTGTAGCTAAAGCTGAGAGTCAAGCACGAACCTGGGGATGTCGTGCCATTGCATTGCACTGTGACACTAACAACCCTGGAGCCACAAAGCTGTACATGGGGAGGGGTTTCAGAATCATCAAAGTGCCCGAAGGAGCTAATTGGCCACTACCCAGAGCTTCTCGGGGCGTACAGTTCAGTTTCATGATGAAGCTTCTGGACACAACGCCCAGATAGATAAGGCTAGGAGAATCAGTTCTGTGATTAACACTCAAGGTAAAAACCAAAGAAAGAAACTTGTATAAAGCCAGGGAAGATCAGTTGATATGCAGAACTGTAATTATTAATTCAAAATGTTACTCATAGAGAGATGATTGGCTACATTCTCCAGGCTAACACCACTAACACAACATTTCCAAGACTGTCCTCTTAATTTCGAACCTCAAAGCTCCACATCCACAGCCTAGAAGAGAAGAAGCCAGCCAGATTTACGGGAAAGATGCATGCAGCCTGCCAGACCTCAAACTTGGATGAATTTAGTAACTCCAGAGGTATCAAGGGCTGTGAATTCCTTAACGGCATTAAAGACAACAAGCCCAAGTTTCACTGCTTCTTCATTGCTTGGTGCCTAGGTGGTTTAAGGGTTGCGAATTAGTTTTGAAACACCAAATTTTAAGAAAAGAGCAAATATACCTCGATATTAAGAGGCAAGACAGGGTCGTGAAGTGACAGCCTCAAAAGGAACCATCCACCATAGCCAGAAGCTCTAACCTGTTGATATTGCAAATTCAGAATGTTGTAATACTATTTAGGAATCAAGTCTTAGTTGAATAGGATTTCTACTTTCAAGTTACAGTATTGATTCAAAGTAAGAAACAAATAACTTACCCCTTCATAGTTAACAAGGGCCTTCTGAAGATTCGTGTCTGAGTCAATAGTAGTCTCCAAATGTTTTAGAACTGCCTCTCCATACTCCCGGAAAGATCTGAAAGCATGAAATATTGGTACTAAAGTAGGATAAGAAGTGCAGGCCATAAAAAGTCTAGTCTAGTTCCATACCCTCCTTTGAGATCTGGATGGTACTGATCAATTTTTAGCCTCAGTTCAACAGCCACCGCAGGTTCCTCAAGACCCTCTACCAAGTCGGTCAAGACTTTGCTGCCACCGCCTTTTCCAGATGCTTTTGCTAATGCAAGCTTATTCAGTAGCTTAACCTTCAAGTAATTGTGGTTATTTGGGAGTAAGTATTAAAAGAAGAAGCGGAACTTATGTTGAGGTATACCATGAGGTATGCGCCATCATCAAGCCAGTGATTCTCCTTGAGAGCTCCATGTCCGCTCGTTTCAATAGCCAAATGTGATTCCTCACCAACAGAATTCTGCCACAGTTATAACCAAACTTCAATCACGCAGAAACTTTTTAAAAGTTTAACGAAGATGCCAAAGATTTGGATAAACTATGTAACACTATGATCAATTCAACATAACGGTAAGAGAGACATTGATAAGTTATTTGCAGATCCATATTCTTCCTTAACTATTTGTTACGAAAGTAAAGAGAGGATTTTTAAAGGCCCAAGACTGTACCAATCGAATAGCTTCATCAATGACATTCTTGTAGCCTCTTTTGAACCTGTGGTGTTTTCCCCCTGTGATAATTGATTGAGAATTTGAGATAAGCATGCCCTAATGCATTGTTGACGTTTGAAAGAAAATAACTGACACGCCAATTGATCTCACCTAGTTTCTTTTCGATAAATGCTGTCAAGCCATCTGAAGTCACACTATCAGTTACAATTGTTGTCCCAGGATGCTGGTAATAAAACAATAAAGATGGCACCGTGTAATCCAGGATGAAGCAATGACTGAAAGACCATGATTAGGAAACGACACTTACCTCCTCCAGAACAATAGCAGACAGCAAGGCAATCAAACGATTCCTATTGAACTCATGACCACTTGAATCAACAGCAGCAGATCTGACCACAAACAAGTATCAGAAAATAGGCTAGTCATTACCAATATATGAATAGACCGTCTAATTACTTACCTGTCGACATCTGTATCAAAGATGATGCCCAAATCAGCCTTATTATCCAGGACAGCCTGAGTGATAGCTTTCATGGCTGTCTTATCCTCTGGGTTAGGAATGTGATTTGGAAACATACCTGAAAGATAAAGACCACAATTTGGATAAGCTTTTTTTTTTTTTTTTTTTTTTTTTAAATTTTTTTTTTTACTGTGTTTGGATATCCTTACAAAAAGCTGTTTTAACCGTATTTTGATAAGATATTTCAAGGAGCTTATCAGAAAAGGCTGAAAAGCGACTTTTCAGGAACCAGTTGAAATGATAAACCCATTAAAGATGCTTTGAGCTTATATCATAAAGATTGAAATGCCCGATAGAGGTTGAAAAACTGCTTAATTACTTATTTAAGCCATTTTCTAAACCAGGCCTAATAGTTATATCAATATAATCATATGAAGCATCCATCTAAATATTTCAAATTTCTTACCATCTGGCTCTAAGAACTGACTCCCAGAAGTAATAGCACCCAAAGGCTCAAGAACTTTTCCCTGATAAACCCAGTAAAAGAAATATCATATAATCTGCAAAGCATTTACTTCATTTAACAAAGCACATGTTTCACAACATAGATTAAGATTGACTATGGTAAAAAGAAGCCAAGCTAATAAACTTTATTTTTAAAAGGAACAGGAAACTGTTCATGAGAAACCTTTGCAATGAATACCATCAACCCTGTCTAGGTCACTAAAGCTCTATTTTTAAAATAAATCCCACAGGTTAAGCTTTTCAGAAACTAGTAGAGAAACATTAGAAGAGAATTTCCTTAAAAGAAGATGAAATATATAATGCCAATTTCATTAGATCAGATCCTAGCAAACTCCCAAGAAAGCATGTTTCAACTCCTAAGAGTATCAATACTATTCTAACTTATTACTGTATAACCTAAGCTCCTTGTGGGTTTGACATGAAAAACTTATAAATTCAAGTTCATTTCTTTAATGAGAAAAGTTATGTGACCTCTTAGCACTTTAGACTGATTATATATCTTGCTTCCAAGAGGTTGTTAATCAAATTGTCTCTAATCTGCATGTAATAGTTACTGGCACAACATACTAAAATAAACCACTGACCCATATTGGATGACATCAGCTCCTGCACGAGTAAGTCCCCGAGAAACAGCATCCTGAAAGAGAGATTAACCAATTCTTACTAAAAGAAAGACAAGCAGAGAAACAAAAACTCCAAGTCATAAATAAGTACTCCGTATTAATAAGCGTTAGAGCTCATTCTTGTCTTTTAACTTTAAGAGATATCAAATTCAGGAGAACGGTTGTTTGAAAATAAGGATTTATGTCTTAAACCTGTCCTAGGAATAGGATCTTCTTCAAGTATATAAAGTTTGCAGCAAAAAACTTTTATGTGTATAAGGGTGAACACCTGCAACTTCTTTGCAGAAATTCTTGAATCATGACCGATGGATACCCTCAATGATCTAGAGCCATCAAGTTTCTTCTTTTCCAGCAACCATGCAGCAAATGCTGCTGCTATTGCTTCTGTAACTGGCTCTGTGAGGTTCACAGGTTCTCCTTCAACACCAGCAACAGCAACACCACGTATATCACTGCAAAGTACAATAAACACCAAAGACAAATCACTATTTTTATGAAACTGGCTCATGTAAATGCATCCATAGAAATGCTGCATTGTAGGTCATTCAGATATACATATATCACTACTTGTCACCAATCAAGTAAAATTGTTCACCATATTGTGTTACATAAATGGCAGATGTCATGAAATACAAGCACGAAACAACAATTGAAACAAAGAGATCAAATAAAGAAAAGAAGAGAAGGACAAATCAGCAAAGCAAAGCCTGATACCTGCCATTCTGAAGCTTAAGAAAATCAGTTTTTTCACCAGATGATACAGCTGTGTTAGATGGTGCAGCTGCATCAAAATTTAAATTCATGAATATAATTTGTGGTTGATGAGATATCTTCTAATGAATGCAGAAACTATATATCAATAACCATCCATTCTATCCAAGGAAGGAATTAAGTTTATATCAATAAGGATAATAAGCACAAAGGTGTTAGTAAACAATCAAATATTCAAAGGACTTGGAAACCTATTATTGAATCTGATATGAACCTGAATAGTGAGATTCTAGAACAAACCATTGCAATAAAAATTTCCCCGGTTAGATTTTGACAATGCACATGGTTGCATGGTGGAGTTGCCATTCCATGCCAACTTCCCTACTAAAGGGGAAAGAAAGTCATGCCTAATAAGGTCAACATGGTCCTGTTGGTATTGGGGACTGAACTTTCTGTTCTGCTGGCAGCACTTTGCTACCAGAGTATGTTGGACAACCTTCCCCGATAGTGCTGCATAAAATTTGAAATTTTCAATATTGTAAGATTTCTGATTGAAAATGACTTGAAGACTGTCAAAATCCTTAATAATTGAGCTGAAGCTACAGTAGTATTCATTCCAATTTCGCATCACAAAGCCACTGTGGTGAGATTAACACTTCAAAATCATAATCATAATCAATAGCATCACCTCAATATCATAAATGCAAGAAAGTTCTTTTTTTTTTTAATAAATTCCTATTTGTGAAGCTTATGATTGAACAGTAAAGAAAACCCAAGAATTGGTAATTGGTAAAGATTTGAATATGACCTGCCATTTGGAGATGCTCGATCAAAAGCTGCGACGATCGACTGAATTGTTGGGCCTTTTCTCTTTCGTTTCTTCCGTTTGTTTTTGTCGGGGTGGGTTGGTGGACGGAGGAAATGATGATAAACGACTGCGTTGAGTAGGTGGCGAGGCGGCATGCAGGATTCGTTGGAATCTCGCACGTGCGGATTTTCCCGCTGTTTATCATGTGGGCTCCACGGCCCAGGCCCAATGGGTTTAAGGATCAATAACCAACCAAATTAGAGTGGTTATATGTAGCCCGTAACCCATTAAAAGCCCAATTCAATATTCTACTTCCGCTTTACTTACGGCAATTTATATCCTACATCACGGCGCGTGTTGCATTATGCGCCCAGATACAAAACGACGTCGTTTTAATTATTTTTTTTTTGAAATTTCCCGTCCCAGTGAATGGCAGTAGTTTTTTCTTAAAAAAAAAATCGCTGTTCAAGAATGTACATAATGTTATACTAGAATACACATAATGTTATACATGAATGTACATAATTATATAACAAAATATACATACTCTTTTTAAAAGATAATACACATAATCTAACATAATACATAATAAACATAAACTTTTAACATAATACACATCAACTCTTAACATAATACACACAAATTTTCTGATTCGGATGTACATAATTGTATAAAAAGAATGTACATAATTGTATAAAAAAATACACATAACTGTATGAACCAATACACATAACGTTGTGAACCACACATAATCTCAGCAACTTCCTACCGCGCCTCCCAACACTACCCCAAAACAACGTCGTTTTGGGAGGCGCGCGGCGCACAGTGCTATGTGCGTCGTGGTGTAGGATATAACGATTGACGACGGTTATCATTCAAAAATACTTACGGCCCAGAGCCCACCCTTACAAAAATATAAATAACTATGTTAAACAACTGATAATCATTTTTTTTTAGTACTAGTGACTCTGTTACAATACAGTATTTGTTCATAACTACTTTCTCAACCTATTGAAGTACAAAGAGTCAATATCGTCTCCACTTAAGTTCAAATTCACAACCTCAACTTGGTATCATTAGACTATACCACTGAAGCTCAAACCTACAACCTTCCATATGGAAGAGCAACTTGATACCACTAGACCATAGGGTCTTTGGCACAACTGATAATCATTAAACATTCAATAAATTAAAAATGCAAAACTTGACCTGAAAGGGGTGATCGAATAGGTAGAACATGTTTTGTGTACAAGAAGGTTAAGCGTTCAATTCTTACCAATACTACAACAAGATCTTCCTAATCCATTTTATCTCGCCTGACCCGCGGTCGTGTCTCTAGTGCAGTTTACATCTCCCATATGATTTGCATGCTATAATATAGAAGCGAAGTTTACTTAATACATACCCATGAATTTAAAATTGACATCATAATTGATGACTAAACTAATATTGACACTATATGGGACCCACTGATTGAGAAAGAAAAGCAAAACAGCAGCCAGGCTCTGGCGTGCTGGAGACGCAGGCGCCCAGCTGGGCGCGCATCTGCGAGCCTTTTTTTTTTTTTTTTTCCTTCTTCTCTCACTCTCTCCTAGTGGCACCTAAAAAGTTGTATAAAATTTTCAATTGATATGGATGTTCTAACCACTTGATCGAACCTATGTTCATCACCATATTTAAGACATATAATTATCATTTATGTTGCACGTCCTAGTAACAATATCATAAACATACTTTGTATTTTATAAATGGAGAAATCATCATTTTAGTCCCTCAATCGATTTCCAACTGTCAATGTGATTCATAATTTTTAATTTCAACCAATTTGATTCTTGAATTATTTAAAATTTCGTCAATTAACATACTCGGTATATCCCATCAAATAATACGAATTTTTACAATATGAATCATTATTCTTTTATTGAGACGCATTTACATGCTAATTAATACTCATATTTTAAGTTGATTTAACCTAACACGCATTTATATATATTTGCATGACAGCTGCAACATGGAAATTAAAGCTTAGGATTCCAAATTGCAAAGCACAACGTTGTTTGATGTAATGTGTGTTGAAGAGCTGAAATCAATGAGAAGAACAGTCCACCATTAACGTTCCGGCCTTCAACTCCCACGCCATTTTCTGTCCCCATGCATGCAATTTCCAACCCCTAGACCACCTTATTTTATTATATTGTTACAATAATTAATTAAAATTATAAATAATAATCGTACAAATTAATAATTATTCATTAATTAATCACCATCTATATATCTATATATCGGCTCGAAATTTTCAACAACGGCAACCTGATTTCTAGGGTTGACTGTTTTGTTTCCAAACATTACTCTGCAATTCTTGGATCTTGCGATTCCTCACTCAAAACATATATTTCTGTCAATAATCCATCTACTATATATTCTACATACATACCCCTATTCTACGTACATGTATACATACATACACACACAATTTATTATTATATTCCAAACGCGTACTCTTTTTTCATAGATCTTTTTGCTTTGCTTTACCTTATTTTAAAAATTCATAATCGATATTATATGAAAATTTTTACAATGTTTTATATTTAATGAACACTTAAATAAATATAAAAATAGCACTTAATGTGGATTATAAAGAAGTCAATTTTTTTTTTAAAAAATAATTATATTCTTGAGGGCGCAAGTCTTTTAATTTCTAACTTAACTAGATATATAAGATTCGAGTCTTGAAAATTCCCGCAGCTACTAAAAAAAGGATATATTGAACATATATATATATATATATATATATGACAATTAATTATCAGTTATTTTTAAATTTAATAGTACGTGTATTTCCCGACCTGTCATACTGAAAAGTGGACTCCTCTACTTGACAGACAAGCAATTCATAAAGCGTTTTTCCAATTGTCACACTCATTAACTTGTAGGCAAGCACCACATGACCCGACCCTCGTCATCATGAATTTCGACAAGTGCTAGCTACTTGACCCGTTGCTATAAAAACCATCGAATTGTTCCACAAAAGGGGATATATACTTCGCCTTGTAAATGTCTTTTTGTATTTCCAACCTGTTAAAATCATTCCAACTTTCTGAACTCCAACCAAACTTTGTGTATTAAGGATTACATATATACAACTTTATCTTTTATTAATAATTATTCACGTAAAATATCAAATAATTAACATTATAAGATATCTTAAAATTTGAAAAAGTGTTTTACTACTCTTGAGACTTCACTAAGCATTAATTTTAATATGTAGTTTTAGTTGACTAATTTAAAAAACTTGTGATTAAACTAAAAAAAAAATCCTAAAACAGAAAAACAAAAAGCTTAATCCATATTAATTAAGGAGGAGTAGTTAATTAAGGGTTTTCTCTCATTCAACGCTTCCTCCTCGTGCACATATTTCCCTGTCCTAGTAAAGAGCCAGTTGGATTATATTAGTTAATTAAAATGTTGTTAAATGTGAACATTATTGCAATGTGAGTGCCATTAAAACCACGCTTAATTGTTTAATGTTCTCACGTGGACACTTCATGACTTCTAGGCCAATTTTCTTGGCTCTAAAATATATGCCTAATTATCTTCAATGCATGTCTCCATAAAAAAGCATCAACTCCAAACAATATTATATATTTCCTAAAATTTTATTATATATATACCCTCACTCTCTCACAAAAAATTGCCCCCTCGCCCCGAAAAAATAGAACAGATTACTATATTAAAATGTCACGAGTTTAATTCTTACTAATACCTTATTAATAGAGGCTAAGACTTTTTTAGTGCAGTTTACATCTCCTGAATAATATGCAAGCTATTACACATAAAATAAGAGAAAATAATTATAAGTACACTTACAAAATTTTATGTATTGCAATATAAATTTATCTTTAAAAAAAAAAAAAAGGAAAATAAGAGTTGGGGAGATAATGGATTAAATTAATGAAGCCCGAGCATCGACACGGCGCAAACGTTGTTCGTGGGCCGGGTGGGTTTTAATTTTAGGCTTCGGACTTTAAAAAACAAGTTGACCGCCGATCCTAACGATGCGGATTTCACGTGACCCGCCTCACCCTCGGGCTTCGGGCGGGCTGGCTTAGCTGTTTCGCGAATAACGAGCGATTGTCCAAACATGACGTCACAGGAGGGGGTCGGGGGACCCACTTCCCAACTATGGGATTGTGTCGTATGTCTGTATGTATTATCTTATCAAACCTGCGATGATGATGCATCGTCTGTTACTGTCCACCCGTGTGAAAAGGGTAGTTTCTGCACGCGCGGACTTAGGAGCGTGACACATTTTCTGATCCCGTAATCTTGGTTGCCCTCCGCTGCCCGTTTGACCGACAGCCTCTTAAACCTTCTCATTAATTCCTCTCTCTGACACCGTTTTAACATTAATTAATCGTGTTTTCGAATCCCGATTCTTAACCTACGGTCGCGGCACCACTGTAGGGCTCTTGTCGTTGAATCACTAAAACATCGCCACCTCGGGATTAGAGTCTTGATATAATCATAATTTTATCAAACAATTGACCTGATAATCACAAATTTTTAAATTCAATCTTTTATGAAAAATAGTATATTATCATTCTTAATTTGAGCTAATCAGTTATAAATAATCTATATCGAATTTACTCAGAGTACACTTTCAGGTAAGAACTTTCCAATAAATTTAAGGGATGAGTCCTACATTATGACCTAAGCAGGACTGACTAAAAGAGACACCATTAAACTCGTACCATACTCAGACTAATCCTCATTCGCATTTTGCCGACCTAATTAAGGGACAAAGTGCTGACTAGATTGGTTTTGCCGACCTCTTTAAGGAATGAGAGTGCTCGGCTACTCACACCAACCAAACTGGTTAATGAAAACAGTTGTTTATGACAATGGTGCATAAACATTTCATAAACTAGATCATACGAAATGCTTAAATTAGCAGATGATTGTCACATGGATGAATAAATGAGGGTGTTAAATTAAGCATGTGTACTAATGAGGTTGACTTTTTATGTGGACATACAAACCCTTGTCACTTCCAGTTGGCACTGTCACCTCTGTAGTAGTTTTCCATGTATAACGTTAGTTGTAATGTTGCATGCAGTGTTCTTTCAT